GAGCGAATTCGTATTCTAGGAAAACGAACAGACGCACGCATTCCAGAGCGAAAGCTATCGCCTTGAAGCACAAAATCCAATTATCGCGCTAAAATTCAGTTTATAGTTGAAAGTGTGTGTACGATGAGGTGTTGCTCCGAATACTATAATCACGTGAGCCGTGACTAATGCAGTTTCGATTTAAGTTGCATAAAATGAACGATACTTGTTGCATGCGTAGAGCCTACAGCGCCTTGAGAAAGAGAGAAGAAAGTCCAGCAAAACAAGGAAATCTAATTAGAGATTTTTTCGACGCTTTTCCAAAGTCAAGTTTACTCTATCGTGACTAATACTACAGCAAAAGCCTCGATGCATGCATGCGAAAATATCCATATGAGCCTTTTGTAAGTTGTTCCATAATGAGTTTCAGCTAATATTAAAATTAATTATATTTATCAAGTAGGTCGTTGCGCGAGGGCTGATTTTGGCGAAAGAACCGCGCAACGTTAGGTCAGCATAGATAGCAACTTGTTTCGAAGTATATTTATAGATAACGTTCGAGCACTAGTTCAAGCTAAAGCTTCTCGCGGATCGGGTGCTTTGCCCAATGATAGACCATCAACAGTCTATAGCCACGTTCGCCTTGACAAAGTTATAATAGTGATAACAATCGCCGACAAGAGCTACCTCGGAAAAGATGAAAGTATCGCCGTAGGAATAGCTTATCTGTTTGTGCAACTTTTATCGACTCAAAAATTTGGTCCACTCGAGAAGCGAACTTGAGAATCGACCTTGAACCTCCGCACCGCATCGTCACGGCATGGCATCGGCTTTTCACTCTGTCAGGCAGAAGGACGTAGAAGTGGGCCGCAAAAGAGCTGGCTACCAAGTCGGCCGATACGCGCAGTGAAAGCGGAAAAGGCCCCAACGATGACGACCACACGATCACGGAAGCCGCACTTGTTCCGCTCGCGCTCGTTACAGCGTTGCGCACTCGCGGGCCCGTCGTCGCAAGGAGACGCGTCGGCTGTGGGCGAAACCCAAAAAGGCGGCGCAGATCAATCCGCCCAGACAACAATTGTCAGGCAAGTCCCAGCTACGCAAGAGCACCGAAGCCACGGCGAGCGAATAATGAACCGCGAGGGGTTGGGTTGGATTGGGTTGGCGCGCTTCTCGTCGGAATAACGTTATACTCGTTGTTATGGCTGTCGGCCAAGTCGCCAGCGGACAGATTGCACGTTGCTGCCGATTCGGAATCGTGCGTAACGTTACGCCGCGCCACACCTTCCATTCAGGCCGCAGCTATCTTAATACACGATTCTCGCCTCGAGATACGTACAAGCTAAAGCCTCGACGACCACGGCAATCTATGTCGGCTAATTGAAAGGAGCCATTTTCTCAGGCCGCGCAGCACTCGGCACTTGCCCCTGACCTTAGCGGACACCGCGAAATTCAAATCTCGCTCACGTATGGGCCCTTGCGCAGATATGAGCACTGCAATAATAGACCCGGAGATGATTAACAACACGCGTCTCGCTGACAAAACAACAAACATTTCACCTGCTGTGGAACACGATTACCTGTTCGGCGAGTTATTCCGCGCTCAATAATCGTCGCTTTAGTAACAAGTTCGACCTCCAATGTCAACAGGTAGTTATCGATTACAAAAACACTCTGTAGGTGTTACGTTTGAATTCGTTCATCCGTTGATGGTCTACGTATGTACACAATCGGCGCGACACATCTAATTCAATCGCGTCTCATTTCATATGCTAATAGTCACGTGTAAAACATTCGCCAATTTCTCTGCAACGATTCACTCGTCTCAATGTAAATACACAGCCTTAAGCCAATACATCGGTGTTAATCTGGATAATATATCCCGCGAAAGTCGACGACAACGTCGATCGTTTATTGTTTGTACGACGTTTCTTGCACTTTTGCGTACTTGTTAACGCGAAGCAATTACGCAACGACGTTAATCAAGTTTGAGCTGATTAGGCAAAGTGAAAACTCGAATTGTAATGTGAAAAATATCGGGATCGGTTGGAAAAGCCTGCGCTTTTACTGAAATGTGAGTAGGCATAATAGAACGACGAGAGAGAAAGACTATTACCTCGTCTGACGCGAACCCCATCAGGCGCGCCTTGACTTGAAGACTTCATATAACAGCAAGATGGGTTTCTACAAGCAAGTCCGCTTGTTACTCGTTGACGAGCCACTGCACTGTTCTTGCTTTCGAGCAAAAGTCACTTGTCAATAACTAGCACAAGAAAACAGAATAGAATGGACAGGGGCTAAGGCGAGCCGGCTAGCGGCTGGTGAACTCGGCCGAAACGCTTTGAAAGGAGCTGCGAGAGCTCGCGAAAGGCGGCGGCGCATGCTCGACGCGCCGTCTAGACCACGACTAAAGGTGCTCGCGGGAATACGCGATATCGCGGGGCCCGCTCTTTCTCTTTCTCTCTCTCTCTCTCTCTCTCTCTCGCCCAACTCTTCCACTACTACTACTACACGCGCTCTGCTCCGGCTATACCTGCACCGCCCGCGGCCGGCTTCCTTTCGTTCCTCGCTTTGTCTCTTTCTTTTTTTTCGCTCTCCCTCGCAGTTCCTTGCTCCCTACCTGCTCTCTCTCTCTCTCTCTCTCTCCTTCTCTCCGTGCTGTTTTTTCCTTTTCTTGCTATACACCCACTGCATGCCACCACCGTTTCCCGAGCTTTTTTTCTAATTTTCTTACCACGCTGTAGAGCTTCCTTCGCTTTCTTCGGCTCTACATTCATTGCCAAAATGCTGACTTTCTTCAAAGTTCACCACAATCAATTCCCCAGCTTCTACTTTCATTCATCCATCCAGCATACCCTTTTTCTACCTGTCGAGTCAATGTCACGGTCTCATCTTATACCCGATGCCGAAACTAGCTTTTCGTCTCGGAAACAAACTAATTTGATCGGATCACAAGATTAAAAATGAAAGTTGGCATGAAAGCTTAAAATGAGTTACTTCAACAGTGATTTCCGGTAAAGCCAAGATTTCAAACAAAGACTCGACGGCGAAGACTTGAGCAACAATCGAAAAGTCGCGCCGTAGTGCATACTTTTGAAATGGCAGCCACGTATTATAATTTTCGCAAATGAATTTGGAGAGCTTGAAGCTTGCCCGGGTCAATATAAAAACGTGAATGTAATATTGAAAAGAAAGTAGGCCGTAAGTAAGCCGTTTATCGGAGAAAATCAATGTATAACTGCAGAAGATAAAGCGTGAATGCGATACGTGTAAGTCGCGAGAGAAAAAGCAAGACCTAATCGCATTTTAATCAAGTTATTAAATTGCGGTTACGCGCTGCTGCGGGTCAGGCCAAGAGAGAGAGGGAGAGCCCCGCGGAACAATTGGATTTATAGGTGCAACAATAACCAACTAGCAAATTGCCCGAGCCGCGTTATTACTGTTCTAACGGTCGCGCGAGAGCGCGAAGAGAGAAAGAGAGAGAGAGAGAGAGAACTCTGGCGAGCCTAATGTACCTACGACAATGCACGCGTGCATTATTAAATACGCCGAGCTATTCGACATTTCTCCTGCGCTTCCTTGTACGCATCCAATATATAGCCAGCTGCTCTTCTATTTGCAATTTGCTCGTGGCATATTTTCCACTGATCTTTTTTAATATACGTAAGCTTCAAATCAATTTACGATCACGAACAATTGCGGCGTCTTCAAAAGAAACGCTTTGCCGAGAGGTTCCGTAACCTCAGTAAAGCCTGAAAAGAATGCCCTCGGTCATTAGCATCACTATCGAGCTTGCCTTTTGTCCGTGCACGATTAAAAACAAGATGATGCGTCGACAGCATGAGAGTCTCTCTTATCCAGGCTCGCTACGTGCACAACTAACCCGCAACTCTTCAGTCCGGTGCATTGTTCGGAAAAAACTCTCAATGCCGGCTAATGTGGCCGCGCGCGCGACAGCGCTGACTGTCTTTACGAGTAAACCACTCCGTACAAAAGTACTTGCACTTCAAAATTCTTTAGCTTCACACAATGAAACGTTCCAAACCGGCACTGCAATAGCAAGCAAATACTTTCCGTTGATGCAGACAGCGATGCTTCTTCCAAGTTCGCTAAGAGCAGTACAAGTTCAACGAACAAAGTTGCTTCATTTGAAAAATCATATTTCATACCGTAAGCTTAAAATCCAGCCAAGTCTATAGCAGATCTGTCAGTCGTGACATGCCAAAAGTTGAGCTAGCTGTTGCGTGTAGTTTGGTGCGGATGAATTACGTGCCGTGCGTGACTTTGAATAAAAAAAAAAGAGGAGGATCGGAGCCGGATGCACCGATTGTTGTCGCAGCCCAGCCCATCGGCTCTTGCCCGGCCCGTTTCGTTTTTATGGTTCGCTTTGCGACCAGATATTTCTGTACTTGGTTTTTAGCGCGCCCGAGAGACGTGGAGGCATTTCGAGATTGCACAACACCTCCTGTTCCAGAGATAAGTGCTGGCTTATTGAGGTAATACCGAAATTCTTGGCGATTGTTGTATGCGCACACGGCTATGTCATTCATTGCACGCGGCTCACTCTCGCACAAGGTAAACATAACGGTACGGCCAAGTTATGGCTTGATCGCGTCAACGCTTGCTTGTGTGCATGTGACTCAGGTGCCTTTATAGCTTTTCCCTATCGCTATCAAATCGATCGCTCTATTTTTCCTTTTATTACAGTGCAGTGCCTTTACCGCATACAGTTTTAACAGGCACGCTCGGAAGATTTTATTGCAATGGCATGGAACAAATGTTGAAATCTGATATTCGTCCGATATCGCTAACCATAATGAAAAAATTATTATCGAGTATTTAATGATCCAGTTGAAGCTCTCGAAAGAGAATTTGATAGGTGTCGCGTAATTATAAAAATAACGTACATCTGATAAGAATTTACAATTTTTTTTCGGTTAAACTAGTTTTGATGTAGACTGCAATCGAAAAAAGTTGTACACTTGCTAGATGTTATTTTTTTGTTTTACGTTTTAACTTACCGTTTCGTCTTCCTTGGCGCGTAGCTTTTCATTAATTTGAGTGTGCTCGCTCAGCAGCCTTTCCAATTTCTCAATTTCCCGATTCTTACTCTGTATTTCGTCGATCTGCAAACGAAGCAAAAACAGCGTCATTCAATGACATTTCTAAATGTTGTCTTTATGGATAAGATTTTCTACAAACTATTTTTTTAATTTAAGGAAACAAGAACGGAAACTTGACGTCGTCTTCGAATGCAATCATGAAAATGATCGTAAATGAACTCTCGCTCTAAAGTTTATTAACCGACACCCTTGAGGAATCTCGTACGATCGAACGACTGCAAGTGCATCTCGATGGAAATTCATGCGAAGAACGAAGAACGCATAGTTTGAAACGGTCGACCGAGACATGTGCATAGTTGTCGCACGTAGAGCATCGTAAGACAGCGAGCATCCGAGCAATATTGTACGTTCTACTTTTGTCCCATGCGCTCCTCGTGGACCTCAAGATCCGCTCTCTTTTTCTCTTTTCACTCGACTGTGCGCGGCGGAGAGCACACTCTCGGTATATTTATTTTCGCTCTCTTGACTTTCGCGCGTTTTCTTGCACTTTGTTCTCCGAAGTGTCAAAATGAAAAGCCCAAAAGCGGAAAAAAAGCGGCGCAACTTGGCCAATAAGCGACAGCTACACGACGTGGATCGCAATAACTATGGCGTTGTCCAGCGAAATTCGGACAAAGGTATAGAAGCGCAATCGGCGAGCGGACGAGCGGACGAGCGGCCGGAGGGGCCCTCACCTTCACCTTGTCTTTCTAGGCCCGCGCCGGCATGGCGTCGCGCACCGGACACCGCGCACGTATATTATCGGGCGAAAGTCTGTTTTCGCCCCGGCTCCTACGCCGCGCTTCCCGAAAAATCTACAGGTGGCGTGCACTTGGCAGACAAACGTTGCGGGACGCAGCGCTCGCTCGCCCAGACGTCGACCTCGTGTCGACTGCCCTCGGGCTGCACACCGCGCTTTCTTGTTGATTTTCGCATTATCATCATTGACCGTAATAATACTCCGCGAGCTGCGAGCACAGTGCTGCATTTCCAAAACATTCGATATAGGTCGGCGTAATAATGCCACGGCTGCATTGTTATTGGAACGGATCTTGATTTGATATGTTAATACGCGGCTCAAAGCTATAATACTTTCCAGTGAGAATTATTTGCGAATGTAGTCAAATCGTTGTGGCGATAAATCGGCAATCGACAGGCTCCATATTATCGGCAATACAAAAGAAAGCTGCGCGTTCCTCAAACTACTTTTATATAGCAAATAGATAGAATGAAATGCATTGTGCGCCGACTGGAATTATGTGAAATTGAAATTGTGCTTATGTCATTCGAAAAAGTTAAAGGTGAAAGGCCTCGGTGCTCTGTCGGTATTTTGGCATTGGAAATTGCACGTGAGAGTCTGTCTGGCGGGCTCTTCAGGGCTACTTTCACTGGCTTGCATCGAATTTATATATGGAAAGGCGCTCGCTCGCTATCCATGCCATTGATATTGAAAGAGAAAAGAAGCCAGCATACTCCCATTCACGCGTGCTCGCGGACGGCGCGAATACCGCAATTACCGGATGATATTTATCCGCTCGGTTAAGCTTACCGAGCCAACATTAAGTATGCCGCAGCTAACTGTGTAATTATTGTAAAATTGCATACACTTGAATCTGGTCAAGCGCAAAATAGCTAAACATCTTTTTTCTTTGGGCTAATTAATTTATCATTTTTATTTTGGGAGTGTTGCCAAATTCAAAGAAATATTCGTAAAACCATTTTACATCCGAAGTCGTCTCACTTTTCCATTATTTCTATATATAGTTTAGGACTAGTTGTTAAAGATTCTTCGTTTCATTATTATTTTAATATCATTAATATTTCATTTTCATATTTAACCGTATGTTAGAGTGGGCCATGGAATATATCTTGAACCTATATTCCATTTTCATTTCTGCACTCCATTAGTTTGCGCAAGGAATATACATGGAAGTAGTGAATATTAATTTATATAAAAAACATCGTAAAAGGTATAAGAAGTATGTATAAACGCGGGGCAGGGAAAGTACATTAATCTTCAAGTGAAGATCGCAGAGAAAATGTTTGCGTGTAGATGAGCTATTAGCACAGATCTCTAAATGACCAGAAGAACAAAAAATAATGGCAATCAACTTTCGCCCTACAATTACTGATTTAGCTGGAAATTAATCTTGTATGACTTGTATTACAAATTTAAAATCTTATTATTTTTTATTTATAGTTTATTATTATAGAAATATTTTTTATTTATAGTTTATTATTGCAGAAAGGAAAGAATTTCTGCAGAATATATATATTTGAAAAGCCATCAGCGAGATACATGTGTTGCTTCACGATTTTTGAGCGCAATGTGCACGTATTTGAAATGAGTAAACTATGTAAATGCATTACGACGCAGAGAAAAGCAGTTTTAAAAGGATATTGTAAGTAAAAGTCTACGTAGATCTCAACGTATTTTTGGTGGTTTCTCAGAAAGTTATAGTTACACAGATGTAACTGGATTAACAGTTTGTAACAATATTTCTACATTCCGTATAAATGCTCGCAATGACATTTACATAGTTCATCTAGATCGAGGTGACCTTTTTTCAACTCAAATAATACGAGTTTGTTTTGAAATCAGATTGTTAAACTTTCCGTTTGTAGAGCTGTCTTTGTGACATTATTTTTTTCATGTTTCGGTATTTTAAATGTAAAGAATACAATTTAATTCTAAACTGAATACTCAAGAAGTGTAGATGTAAGAAATGAGTATCGGAGTATTAAAAAATCCAAATTGTAATGCTGTAAAATTGACGAACATTCAGGCATGCCGAGAGATATGAGTATGAGATTTTTCAAATAAAAAATCCTACTTGTCATGGTATAAAACTATTATACGCTGTCGAGTCCAGCGGCATTCTTGAACTCTGAGTTACAAGGCTTTATGGACCGCCCACGCACGTGCTACGGTCACCCGAGCAAGAGAAAAAAAAGTAAGGGACAGAGAGAAAGAATTACATTCCAGACTAATTCTCCTTTCTCGGAGTTTCTCTCTCTCTCTCTCCCTCTCTTTTTCTCTCTCTAGATAATAACGATTTGGTTCAGAATATGCACGTAGAGCGAAGCTTTAATTTTTCATAGTACTTAGTCTTCTTGCTCATATTTATATTTGTATCAAAATTTAGCCAAATGCTTATTTCAGCAGATCTATTCTGCCGTGTTACTTTTATGCTTGCAAGCTCTGTGCCGGGCATCACTAGCAAGGTACTTTGCGCTTATCTGTCTTGCTGTCTGCGTTTTTGTTCCTACTGAGTTCGATTTTGTCTCAACCTCGTCCACTTTTCGAGAAGCGTGTAGTTTTAGCTAAATTTAATAGCCCTAGTCTTATTTCTATTGAATTAGTTTTGATTTTTAGTTGCTATTTTGTGATTGGAATAAAAATTTTCGGGTTCATTAAATCCCATGGTTTCAAATAAAATAAAAACCTCTTTCTCACTCTCTTCATTGTTATAAACTTGCATGAGATTTCATTATTTCATATACTTTATCATAGAATTTATTTGCAAAGTCAATACAAATTTCTATTTATAACATTCTTATATGATCATTACTTTACCTAATGAGAATTACAACATTAGATTTTCTTTTAATGAAAAAATTCCAATTTTGCTTGAATATTTTTCAAGTTATAAAAACTTTATTATGAATATTATTTAGTATACGCATAGGTTCAGTCATTTCAATTTTGATAGTTTATGTTCAATTAGTTCGCGCTCTTTATTATATAATAATGCGTATTGCATCACTATTAAGTGCTACATTGTCACGTTTGCAATTATTTTATTATACTTTTATTTCAATAATATGTTATGACTTATAACTTTAGCGACATACGGCCTGATAGGGCTTTAGCAAAAATAATTTAGTTTACATTAATTCCCTGTTCCTTTATTATATAAACGAGGTCGAGAATATTATAAAAGTCAATGATCCCGCAAACGTAAGGTAAATGAAAGAAGTATCTGGAGACGAGAGGTAAAAGAAATCCTGAAACGAGCGAGATAAGAAGGAATTCTTGGAAAAGCATAGTAATTAAGCAGCTTATACGCGGCTATTATACGTAGCGTTCATGTCATTCACAATTTTAATTTTTTTAAGGGCAACGGGACTAAACTTGGGGCTCCTGCACCTCCTCTTCGCAACGTACAGGTGAGTGAGACGTTTGCAATACGTGCGTTCGCTAAAGCGCGAGATCACTCCACTCAGCCTTCTCTTCTTTTATCTTCCATTTTAGTTTTTTTTTGGTCTACCTTGCTCGTCGCACATATATACGGATACATATCAAGTCACACAAATCACACGCGAAATACGAAAACAGGCTTACATTACAGTTACAACCAATGCGTGATAACTACGATGACACAAATACCACGCGACAATTTACAAACAAAAGTTGTTCGGCTATTTCATTTTTGTTGGCTGTTTTTTGTAGCGTATTATTTTCAATGCTGGCTTTCTTGTAGAAATCAAAAAGGAGTTTTCAAAATCTGTCAAATCAATTCCGTCGCGAATTAGGTAGATTCGTAGATAAGATCGATCGATATTGAACGTCTAAAATAAATACAAGATAATTCACGAGAAAGTCGTACGTTTCGAAGATCAAACATTATCTCCAAGTCTCATTATACATTGAATACTTTGGAATAAGCGATTGCAACATTAAAAAATGATTTGAGTAACATTTAAGATGGAAAAGGATCTACATAAAATATTTACCAAACTTGAGCGAACTTCAATCTTAGAGATTTGAAAGCTTTCCATTATATAGAATACTTCGGAAGAATAATTTTATCCGATATAATAATTCAGATGGCAAATGAGTTCAAGCTTATGTAAAGCTCTCACCGTATAAGAATCTATGTATTCTTTCGCACAAGGAACATACACGAGCCAACGGACAATAAGATCATTAATTAATAAAGAACGAACAAGCGTAGCAATTAAGGGTGCGAACAACGGAATGTCAACTGTTGGCGTGCATAGTCATGCGAGCGGTAGCTGTAGGTGCGGGAGCAATGACATTTCTGGCTTTGCCCTTATTTGTATAATCCTGGCGATAAAACAAAATCCATTCACTCCGTCCAAGCGGCTGCGCGAATCAAGTGGCTAGCTATGCCGCATTTTGCGCGCTGATAATATCGCGCGACTTATATCCTTGAAAAGACCGGATTAGACTCCAACCTCTGACACAGTACACGCATAATCATTCATTCTTTCTTCTCGCCAATCCGATAGTTTTTCTCGTTTCTTATTCTTCGCTTTTTATCCCTACTGACCGCCTTTCAATTTAACAATTCTCACAAGTGCAAGTGTCTTCCGACAAAAAGTGTTCGCTATAAGTACGACTATTACAAATCAAGTGTGAAATGCGCGCAAGAAAACCTCACCTATTTATCAAACACGGAGACAAAAAATTGCCGAGTAAGAACTTTATTGCTAATTGTCTTTTATGTCAAATATCGCAAATATATAGAATCTAATCAATGCGCCGCAGCCTTAATAAATCGTTATACTTTCGAATTGAAGATTGCAATTTTTACTTTACAAAGAGATCACTGATAGTAAAACAATGTCGAGACTACTGCATCGATATGATTTTTTGTTATCGTGCAAAGAGATAACAATTTTCAACGTCGATTTGGAAAGAAGTTAATGCAGAATAACTGAGAGGAATGTAAAAATCCGCTGAGAAAGGATATGTCGAAATAAGAAAAAAAGGCCAGAGCCGAATCTGCGTGATCAGCAGATCTGCCTATATTCTCATCTGTCTTCTGTCACATGTTTGACGTACGCTCGTTGCATACGCAAAGACGCATGAGTTTCGCGTGGCATCATGCGCATCCCGGTATAGGGCCATTCGACAAAGTATGCAGAACGGCAAGCTCTCGTCGTCGACGAGGGCGACTGTAGTTTCTGCCTGCGCGATATGCTTTGACAGGTGGCAAAGGGTGAAACGTACATTATAGCTGGCGTAGCTCAGACGAGAGACGCATACAAAAGGCCCGTGAGAGATAGTTAAGAGAGAAGTGCAGACTCCAGCTGCTGCATTTGATGCTCGCTCGGGTGCGAAATGTCGAATGCGCTGTGCTCGCACGCGCGAGTCCATCGGGCTCGACCTATATAGCAACATATATGTACGTTGGCACTGCGCACATTTATCCGAGTGGCTCCAACTACGGCTCGTCAATGTGTCTCGGCGATTCCCGCCGAGCGCGACAGGCCGTTTCCCACGCCGACTCAGCGCGCCACGGCAATCAGCAAGCGAGTCTGTTTACGCGCGCATGTGAAATACATACGTACTCGCATTACGTGGACGCGAGTTACTAGTCCGGGATTCACACGTTCAGGCGTGTCGCGCTCTTGCTGCCAGCTAAACACATAGGCGGCTCTCCGCGCGCGCGCGCAAGGACGAGAGAAAACTCGCGTTGCGACACCTGTCGCGAAATACCAGGGTCGTGTTGTACTCGCTAATTACTGCAAAATCGTCGAACGACTCTATTAATCGAAACATGCAATGAGTATCATTTGTCGAGTATGATCATTTACCGAGGATAATTGCAAACTTGGAAAGGTTGGCTGCTTCCAGGAAAAAAAGAACTGTACTTGAGTAGCAGGCAAACGAGCGACGACAGAGAGAGAGAGAGAGAGAGAGAGAGAGAAAAGTCCCGCTGATAATACTAGGACTCGCCCACGAACAAAACGGCGAGCGTGTGAACGTATCGCACACAGCAGCCCATTCGCGCGAGCGAAGAGACGTTTTTGTCGACTTTACTCGCTTTCTTTTCTTCGTTCGTTCGCTCACAGGCAGTCGGCTAGTGCTGTTATTTTCAGGGTAATCTATCCATTCTATACTACGCACACATCCTTTCCTCTCCCCTCCTCTCTTACCGTGCCACCCTTCTTCGGTTTTTTTCAAGTGGATATACTGCAGCCTCCGCGCCGGAAACCAACGGAACCGTTTTTTTTTTTCCTTTTTCAGGAAATGCCTTTTTTCGTCAATTGCAACTTTACATCGCGCTACTTGCTCCAAGCTTTCGTCGTGTAGAATGCGGGCGAAACTCCGCCATACCAAAAGAAACAAGAGAGAAAACAATGAGCAATTGAGTCGTGATGCACTTGAAGCACGTAAAGCATTATTCTGAAAAAGTGGGTAAAAAAACCTGCCTAAACGAGCAGGTAGATCGAGGCAAGTATGGATTTGAGCTTCGTTCTATTTGACTTCGTCTGGCTAAAATCTACCGTAGTAAAAACACCTGCTTAATGGATACAGATCCTACGTAAATAAACACAACTCTCTTACCGAATATTTACTTTAGATAATTCGTTCCTTTGTTTGCATTCCAAATACTAGCTCAATTATAAATTAACATTGCGTTGACGATAATGTGAAGATTCTCATTGCTGGATGCTTAAGTAACATGGAAGACACGCGTGGTATCTGAATAAGCTTGAGATTTATTGGACGATCCAGCGCAAAATATTCAGCGCGCGAAATATGCAACGAAGCACGAGAGCGTGAAGACGCGCGCATCCGGTTGGGCGTAGCAAAGAATTAAAGAAGAGTATAAACATCGCTTGGGCGACCTATACACCGGGATCATTCAAATTTCGCGAGAGAAGTCGCAGAGCGATGTTTAAAGTTCCACTTTAAATGCCGATGCACGGTACAGAAAGGAGTGGCGCGGCGTAGAGAGAAAGAGAGAGAGAGAGAGAGAAAGGCGAAGGGCCCCTAAATTTCAAGGCGTGCATCATAAGAGCCATGGTCAGAGCGCGCGGGATTAGCAGTGGGCGCACAAGCGTCAGTGACCGCGCGTCGGGAAAATGAACGGAGCCGCGGCACGTCATGCGAGTCCGAGACGTCGGCTCGCGGACGGATAGACGCGGTCGCTGAAGTTTGCCCGTGAAGGGGATGGGCGAGCGTGGAATCTTTTTCAAAACAATTTTTCGGAGAACAAATAGGCCTTTGTCCCGCAGAAGGAATGCAGAGTGCGCGACGAGTAGCAGGCTGCACGAAGAGGCAGCGCAGAAGACACGGTCGAAGGGCCATGCACGCGAAATTGGAGCAGGGCACGTAAAAGTCGCTAAGAGTCGTGTGCATGGGAAGCGAGGCCAGTACGAGCCCGCCGGTTATTACAGTGCCGCGGGATCGGTATGCCGGGCAATGCCCGCGCAGCCAGAAACTGCGTAGCCCGCGGGCTCATCCGCCTCTACTCTGTCTCGTTTATTTATTTATTTTTTTTTTTTCAGTGAGCGCACGCTTTGCTTCCACCACCTGGATCCGTGGGAGTGAGCTCGCGCATCGAATGTCTATCCCGAGCAAGCAGCCCCGGGCCATGGAGGCGCGAGTGAATCTGATGCATGCGGCAGCTTCCAAGAAATCCTCGAGAGAGCTGCACGATCTTGCTCGGTTGCCCCTTCATTCAGTGGAGCAGGCCGAAAATATCGATAAAATCTCAACGCCGAGCGACTTAATCGTTGCAAGTTGCACGTGAGCTTCGATCGGCATTGCACGAAACGCAGTGCGCAACGAGACCATCACCGACGGCTGCTGAATTGTCTAATTTTAAAGCCAATCATATTTCGCAAATTGAAAGTTGATAATTATTAACGACTTACTAATTTAATTGTATCGCTACGGAGAGCCCTCTGGATGCCAGCCGATTCCGCTTCGTGAGTTTCGTGTTGCGCCCGCAGCTCTGCAGCTCGTGCCCTTGCAGATTCCTCGGCAACCTACAATTTTAATAGCACACGTAAGACCCAAACGTTCCAATAGAAATAGTTATGTTGCAGTAGTCGAGCACACTCGTCATTCCATACGTGGCTTTCAAGTTCCTCACAATTTTCGTCATTCTTTCTTAATATCTTGCCTCTATCAAGCATAAATAAATCTATAATTTCTCTTCGCGTTTACTTTTTTCATTTTTTATTTCATACCCGCATGCCTTCTATCAAATGTTGCGCGACTATGAATCTTCAATCTAAATTGCCAATTTCAATCAAGAAAAGAGTTTGTTGACAAATAAATAATAGATAAACGATACATAGAACTTATCGCGCGATTATCATTATTAGCATCTATAAAAAAACCTGGTTTTATCATTCATCATTTTTCATTCGGCTATATATAAGAAAGAGAAGCTGAAAAAAAAGAAGCCAGTTTATTCACGATCTGATTGGCTGAAAAATAGACACGTGATCAACTATTGTGTGATCGTATATATGTGATTTTTGCAGATATTCGTAGAGTATTAATAGTTCGAACTTTAAGTTACTTTTATGTAAGATTACGAAGAGAAAAATAAATTCATTTGATTGTCTAACTTTATAATAAAAACCAACTGATGATTCGATAAAAAACTTAATTAAGTTTTGCTTTATACGAAAGTTTAGCTTCGAATGAGTAAAATAAACAATAAAAAATATAAATGGATAAATTATCTCGATAAAATATTGTAAATGATTTCGGCTTATTCAGTGACGTAAAATATTAGAAAAATTGTTTAAAGATACACTAGTTACTACCGTGGACGTATACCGAAGTCTGTCATTTACATCGTGAAGAATACGCAATATAATTATAGAAATCTATAACGTTTTTATACTTATATTACATATTTATATCCTGTTTTTGAAACTATATTTTTTTAATACAGGGCACTATACAATAAAATCATAAAGCTTCATTCATTGCAATTTGTAATTATGAGTATCAACTATACACGTCATTACATATTTTATATCAATAAATAATATAGACGACTATGTATCATTTCAAATCACGGGAATATTTAATAAATATTGAATTTTCGAATTTCACATTTCGTCAATAAATGTTTTTATCTATATTCATGCTTTGAAATGAGTCCGACAAAAAGGCTAAAAAGATAAGAACGCGAAGCACGCTAGGCATAACTACCGATGATAAATGAAAAGAAAAGAAAAGTAAGCAGACCAATGAGTTTCAGTATCAGTTTGTATATGTACGCACTTTGAAAACTCAAAACCACGAAACAATTCAATTATCACTAAACATTTTCAAAAAGTTATTCGGTACTTGTGTAATTGAACAAGTTTTCTTAACAAATATCTAACATAGTTAAAGAAAACTAAATATTTTAGTTCTGAAGAATGTTATCATAGCATTAATTTCATTGCCCCAGTGTAATTGCTCCATTGTTACAATTCATCGTTATCAATCTAATTATCTATAAATATTACACCGACAAGGTATAAAAAATTACAATCCTCTTCGTAATTTTATTCATCCATATAGATGCATCGATATATTTAACTCTATCGTGAATTAAAAATTTACAAGATGTGTAAAATAAAATTACTGAATTTGTACTTATGTGGTATTTTAATTATTTTAATATCATTGGTAATCTATAAAACATCCAATGGAATAGAAGAAATAGATTATACATTTCCTGATGGTTTTCTCATCGGGACAGCGTCGTCGTCATATCAAGTGGAAGGTGCATGGAACGAAAGTGGTACATATTTCTTTAATTTTCCATTTTGCAATCACATTTCTGCATTTCATTTCAAATTTAGACTATATATTATAGGCAAAAGCGAAAATTTGTGGGATTATTTGGTACATCACTCGTCAGAAAAAATTTTAGACAGGTCTAATGGAGACGTTGCTTGCGATTCTTACCATAAATATAAAGAAGACATCAAATTAATGAGCGACATAGGTGTTAGTTTCATAGTAAAATGCCTAACTGTTTTGTCGAATTCAACGTTAACAAGTTTTTATTAGTTCTAAACCCGTAACAAATGTGAATTTTTCTTTTAAGATTAATCATTACCGTTTCTCATTGAGTTGGTCAAGAATATTGCCGACAGGCTACACGGATTACATCAATAAAGATGGAATACAATATTATCACAATATTTTAGATGAACTTGAAAAATATGGAATAAAACCATTTATAACACTTTATCATTGGGATCACCCACAAAGTCTCGAAAGATTAGGCGGTTGGACAAATGAAATTATGGCTGACCTATTTGCTGATTATGCACTGCTCGTATTTAAAGAATTTGCGGCTAGAGTAAAATTTTTTTCTACGATAAATGAGCCGTATATATTTTGTAAAGCAGGTTATCGAACTGTTGATTTTGCGCCAAGTAAGTAATTGCAATATCAGTCAGTCCCATTTGTTAAGGGACATAATGAGATGCTTTTTAAAGTATATTTCATTCATGATAATATATTTTTAGGTTTGAATTTGAGCTCGTGGGGTGAATATCTATGTATGCACAACATGTTGAAAGGTCATGCTTTAGCATACCACATATATGACAAAGAATTTCGAAAACAATATGGTGGTAAAATCGGTATCATAACGCCATGTTTCCACTATTATAGTAAAAATAATAATGATTTAGAGTCTTCTGAAGTTGCATTTGAATTTCAATGTGGCTGGGGTGCAAACCCAATTTTTTCAAAAAACGGCGACTATCCGGAGCTTATGAAACGAAAACTTGCACTAAAAAGTAAATTAGAAGGTCGAAGAAAGTCTAAATTGCCAAGTTTTTCCAAAGAATGGATTCAATACATAAAGTGAGATATAATGTTCGACGTTTAACAAATATACAAAAAACTTATTCAATACATAATTCGATAATGATTTCCTTGCATGAAAGTTATTGAAAAATTTATTTTTAGAGGTTCTTCAGACTACTTTGGACTCACCCATTACACTACGTATCTTGTAGAGCCTCTACTGAACAATTCAAATACGCAAGTACAAGACGATGCGGATCTAATTTATTCAATTGACGATCAATGGCTTTCAGCTCAAAGTCCATGGCTAAAGGTTTGATAAATAAAATTGCTGATCTTCCATTGTAATGTAGGAAAAAGCAAACAATGTTTCATTGCTCTAGATTGTACCAAGAGGATTAGCTGATATATTACGAAAAATTAAAGACAAATATGATAACCCTCCAGTCTACATACTAGAAAACGGTGTTTCCGATGCTAACACCATCAACGATACAATGAGAATTTTCTACTTACATGCGTACATGAATGAAATGCTTACAGCAATGAAAAGAGACAAATGCAATGTCAAGGTTTATACAGTTTGGAGCTTTTTGGATAGCTTTGAGTGGAACAGAGGATATGTGTTAGTATTCAATATTGTTATAATTTTGTATAAAAAAAAATATTCAACGTTTAATTATATTTTAATAATACCAATATAATTATCAATTTCAGAGATAAATTTGGTCTTGTTAGTGTCAATTTTAATGATCCAAATCGAACGCGTACTCCAAAAAAGTCAGCTATGTGGCTGAAAAAAGTATTAGCATCACGTAAATTAGAACCGTATTAATGAAAATAATAACATTTTTTAACAAGAAAAAGAGAGTTAAAATGATTAATTAATAATCTAGCTGTATAAATTGAATGTTGAAACCTTATAAATATTTCCGATTTCTCCTTTTCTTTGTTACAATAATTATAATAAAAATTACCTATTAATTACAATAATTGAAAAATACACTAAAGGTTACGGAAAAATTGTTTCACTTTGACTACTTTTCTTTTATCGGGTTCGTTTTGTGATGGATATCTGTTCTATAAGATTTGACTCTACAAAAATTTTTATATTTTGTATATTAAACATAATTTTTTTGTATTGATTGTGAAACATAAAATATTATTTTCTCAAAAAATGAAATATAATTTGACATTACATCTTTATACAAACAACGAAGAAAGGATTAATTGATAATTGACAAATGATTGAATACTATTTTAATTTTTCTGTTCAATTAATAAAATATTATGTTAAATAAACAGAATTCGATAATTCGTGTAAAATTGAATTGTCTCAAATCGGAATATATGCCAAACGAATACTAATTCTTTAATTTACTTGGTATGCTACATTTAAAAACTGGTTTTGCAATTTTTATTTATTCATCACCATTTAATTTGAAAGAGAAGCATGTGTCATGTCATTTAAGTAAAATGATAATAAACGGAAACTTACATCCAAATAATCAAAATGTATATATCGCTATCAGTGTTTACGTTCCCAGGAAAAGTTGTCAGTTACAAATAAATTTACTTGTCGCATGCTTCAGTGAGGTTATGTTTATCGTAAAGATTTCATTATAATAAAATATATAAAACAATAACAATTTTGTTGAAAGTAATTTTATTGAAAATTACCTGTTTTGGTGACTAGTTATTGAGTAGAAACTAATATAATAAGGTGTTATCAAATTTCAAGTTCAATTTTATCTGTTAAATGCGATCATATATTAAGTTTTTAAGAAATAAAATAATTATCTTTTCTCAACTTCTTCTATAAATAACTTGTCATTTCGTGGAAGATGCTCGATTTGTATAATTCAATGTTTACTAGCATTTTTTTGGATACTTGAAACATTTAGAGCTTCTCATAAACATACTGCTTGCATGATATAGAGAATAAATCTGGAAAAACAATATATGTAAATCAGAAAGTTTATTTTGCACAGTGCTTTGATCAATTTACAAAAAGAAAAAAAATTGTTTTACAAATTACACTTGGCTAATATAATTTTATTAATTTCATATTAAGTAAAGTTAAGTAATGTTCTAATAATATTCATCTGAATTAATTTCAAAACTGTGCCTATAAACTCTGAAACGGAGTACTAAACCATAAGGTTAAAACTAATCATTCAATTTAGTTCGTGCGATCATCTTTTGCTTTCATGACGGCTATAAACAGTCGCAAAAAAGAAAAAGAGAGAAAGAACCAATCTCGCACGTTTGTAACAGTGTCGGTGTGTCCATTGCTGCGTGAAGAAAGATAGCTAGTTTGCTTTCATTCTAAGTCAAACTTGTGAGAACTGGTGGATGTTTTTGTAAGTAACTACCGAAAATAATCTCTATCGATCATGCAATATTTGTGCGTCAAAGGCACTTAGTTCGTTATTTACAAGATCATGTCTAACTTACAATTACGTCTTTCTAGAAAAAAAACTCTACCAGGGACTTACTTCTGTTATACACTCAGTCCTTTTCATATTCTTACGAAAACCTTTGATTTTTTCAACTTTATTTAAATTTATTATATCACAATAGAGCCATATCTTGAAATTTGATTTACGATTATAATTATTTATCAGAGTTTAAAGTAAGTGTACTTGTAGCGATAACTTTAAACTTATCAGATATTTAAAACAATGTTTGTAAATGTTAGCAAAATATATATGTGGTATATAAATATTTATATATATTTCCAGCTCGAAAACTCTGCTGACAAAGCTTATGAGATTATCATCACTTATATTCAAAATCAAAATTTCATAAGATTTACTTATAATCAATAATACACAGTGATAAACATGTGTTATATTTACAACAAAGTTGGATATGTAATATGCTTGATGTGAGTATCTTTCAATTTGTATTTTCAAATGAAAGCCGAATTTCGGGTGTATATTTAAAAAATGTACTTTATCTTAAATTATACTTTGAAATTCTATGCATGTATGAAAAATGAGCCTTACAAAACAATTTTTTGCGCTTTAGAATCTTATCTGTAAGTGGACAAGAAGATTGGACTTTTCCAAATGACTTTATCATAGGAGCTGCAACTGCTTCTTATCAAATTGAAGGAGCATGGAATGTGAGCGGTTAGTATTTACAGTAATTATTTACAATACGCATAATACTTGCATATAGACTCTGCTACGAACCACCAGTGGCTCGTATTCACCCATTTAATTATCTTACAAGTGTCTTTTTCATCTTACCGGTCGTTCATGTGTACAGTATAGTACAGATACATGAACAGTATAAAAATTACATATTGCAATAACTTGTAATATGCAATTTCATATAGTTAATTTCAAATAATACGATTTACAAATAATTATTTTAGATAAAGGTGAAAACTTGTGGGACCGATATACGCATGTGCAACCGGAACAAATACGAAATCGAGATAATGGTGACATTGCTTGCGATTCATATCACAAATACAAAGATGATGTATTACTCCTGAAGAAACTGGGGGTCAGTTGAATTTTGTTGACTAAGTGATATTCTAATGAGAAGACTTTTTGAATTGTGCGTTATCCGTAGGTAGATTCTTATCGTTTTTCTGTCAGTTGGTCCCGCATTCTACCAACAGGCTACGCCAACATTATCAGTAAAGATGGAATTAAATTTTATCACAACTTATTAGATGAATTGGACAAATACAATATCACGCCGATACTCACAATGTATCATTGGGATCATCCGCAAATATTTCAAGATATTGGCGGGTGGACTAATGAAGTAATGGTTGATCTATTTGGTGAATATGCTAAGATCCTGTTTAAGGAATTTGGCAATCGAGTGGAAATGTTTATAACAATCAACGAACCAAGTTCAATTTGCGAGAGCGGTTATTATACAGGGGAATATGCCCCCGGTAGGTAGCTATAATTTTCTTGTATGATTTTATTTAATGATCGTAAATCGACAGTTAACGATTCATTCTCGATGATGTTGTATAATAGCCAATAGATATTTAAAGAATTGAACATTCACAATTTTCCAATTTTAGGATTGAAAATAGGAAAATACGCCGAATATCTATGCGGTCACAATGTGTTGAAAGCTCATGCCCGAGCCTATCACATTTATGACAGTGAATTTCGATTACAACAACAAGGAAAGATAGGAATTGTATTGGATTGCTACCATTTTTATCCAAAAAATAAACACGATCATGTTTCACCAGAAGTAGCTTTTCAATACCAATGCGGAAGATACGGGCATCCAATTTTTTCTAAAACTGGCGATTATCCCGAGGTAATCAAACAAAGAATAGCTGAAAATAGCAAATTTGAAGGTTTGAAGAAGTCAAGACTACCGAGTTTTTCAAAAGAGTGGATTCGTTACATAAAGTAAGAAGAGACAATCTATTATATTTTAATAATGCATACAAAAAAATATATTTGTAATTATTTGTAGAGGCACAGCCGATTTTATGGGTTTAAATCATTATAGCTCGAAACTTGTATCACCAGCACCTCGACCGAATAATACAATTTATATAAATGACGATGGGATAGTTTACAGTTACGATCCCAAATGGCCGTCTACTCCAAAAGATACTTTAAAGGTAAGAGCTTTATTTTTTAATTTTAGAAAAACGACCGCAAGTCAGATTTACTCCATAAGTTTTACGGAATTTTTTTAATTTATTTTATTTATTGCCAATAATACCAATTATAAATACATTGCTCATACCATTATCTCAAGAAAGTCCCCAGAATAGTCTTCAAATACCTTGTTCGGGGTTTGGTACATAAATATTTATTAATACGGAATTCATAAATATCAATAAAACCTACTAAATAACTCACAGTAGAACTTTGCACATGTAGATAGTTCCGACAGGCTTCAGAGACGTGTTACGAAAAATTAAAAAAGAATTTAGAAATCCTATTATTTTTGTTACTGAAAATGGACTTCCTGACATGGGCACCTTAGATGATACACTGAGGATCAAATATTTGCATTTATATATGAAAGCTATGCTTGTCGCTGTCAAAAAGTACAAAGTCAATGTAAAAGCTTACACAGTGTGGAGTCTTCTAGATAATTTCGAATGGGAGTTTGGTTATAGGTGAGTCAGTTCTAACTTATGTCTGCTAATTAAACATTGAGCAAGTTAAATCTATAATAATTAAATAAAATATTAATTTCTTAATACATTAAATGCATTGTTTTTATGACGATGATTTATCGTATTTAAAACGGTATTTCTAGTTTGTTCTTTCAAATATCTTAATATGAAAGCCATATAAACAATATATTTTTTTAAGTGCGTAATTTTTTTCCTTTCACTTTTGTTATAATGCAATTTTTCATTTTAGTCAGAAGTATGGACTTTTTCAAGTTGATTTCAATAATCCAAACAGAACGCGAATGCCAAAAAAATCAGCTTCATGGTTTTCCCAAGTTTTGCGAGAACGTAAGGTTTTACCAATAAATAGTGATTACTAATAAAAAGTGATCAGATTATGTGGTAAATCACTCATTAAGCAGAAGTATTGAGAGACGAAAGAAGACAACAGGGAATAGAGACCACACGGAGGCAATAATACCTGGCGCTATCAAAAGTATTCTTACGCATCGAAATAACTTTTTTCGATCGTCCATTGAAGGAATCTACACGATAAAGATAGTGTTTTACTATTATCTTTTACATTTAGGTACAAATAATCTATTTAGTTTTTTATCTTACTTTTTATTCATCTATGTCGTAATTAGAAATAAATAAAACAATGTTATGATTCATTCATAGTATTTACATCACTAAAAGCACGAAGACTCATTGTTTATTGATAAATATATAATATTTTCGCGCTTTAGCGAATAATTAATGACTAATAGCTAACTGAACAAAAAGCTTGTTAATCAAAAAATAATTATGTCAAAAATATAAAATTGAATGCAATAGTATCTTGCATCTAAAATGTCTGCAAGTTTATTATTTTTATATCGACCTGATAATACTTTCTGTTTATATGAATTAAAACTATACTTGATTATTTTATACGTCGATGTTGATACGGTTGCCATGTGAATGGGGATCGAAACTTTTACGTGAAATGATGATATTGAAAATAATGCTACTATCTTTCTTTTTAAAGTACAGATGTATGAAAAAATATGGGAAAAACGTACAACAATTTCTAATTCATATGATATATTAATGGAATAAAAATAAATTATGAAAGAACTAATTAACTCACGTGTAACTTCTCTTCGAGCTTTTTATTAGCTGTACGTAAGTTTTGAACTTCGATTGCAAGCTTTCGCAATTCTGCATTGCCAGCTTTGACGCTTTCATCCTCTTTGGTTTTCTTTCTGACGCGACTGCGATCCAGGGAATTAGTTTTAAGCTTTTGAATAGTTGATTCGGCTTCGGCAAGACGTTTTTTCAGTGCAGCCACCTCTCGCCTGTGATTTTCGTCTTTTAAAATGTCAGTCTTTGACGAACTTGATGGACAATCGTTTACAGAAGGTGATGGCGACTGAGCCAACCTTTGGAAAAGTGTACTAATTAAAATGATTTGCAAGCCAACCGATCGAAGGTCCAGGGAGTGGTTGAAAATAAAAGCAAAAAAAATATTTGATTGTTAATTGGAAAAGGGTGTAATGCGAACACATGTAGAGCTTTAGGAAGCACAGCGAGCTTCGAGTTTTCGAAAAAATCAAATGAACGGTCGTGCATCAATACTATAAATTGAAAGGTTAAAGTAGTTCAGTAAGGCATATATAGATGTTAGAGAGAGGTAATATTACCTAGCCTTGAGCTCGACCACGACGCTAGCGTATTTGGCCGCCTCGGCGTTGCGCGCCTCTTTGACGGCAGCCTCGAGCTCGCGTCGAGCCAACTTGGCGGCTTTGCGCTCCTCGTAGATCTGCGACCTAGCCTCGGTCAGCTCCTGCCGCAGCCGGCGGCCGCCCTCCTCCAGCCAATGAATGGTTTTGCGCAGCCGAGTGGCGTCGTCGTCGCGCCGCGCGGACTTCATCATCGAGCGCAAGCTGTATCGGCTGCTGCAGTTACCGACCTCCGACTCGACGCGATCCCTTTCGCGGCCGCTGCTCGCGCTGACTTCCGCTTTCCGGCCGCTATTCCTGTTCAACTCCGCGACTCCTCGGTACTCCAGATTCACCGTCAGATTCGAGACACTGCGTTCCACGCTCGCATTCGACTTGCTCGGTTCTTCGCTCAGCTCCCCCTTTTCACCGGATATCGACGCGCCATTCTCCCCAACATTTTCCAATCCACCCGACTCATTGCACTCTTCCCGAGTATTACTTTCACTGTGCACAGCCGCACCTTCCGCCACTTCGACACTTGGCTGTTCTTCGAGCACATCCTTTGTTGCTTCGACGCTTGGATCGCCGCCCTCGGTGGTGGTGGCTTCTCCATCGCGATGCCGCTCGACTGACCTAAAGCCCACATTTTTCAGGGCCACGCCAACGCTCTGATGATGCACGATACTACACTCGTTGGGCTCCAATTTTCGCCTTTTGCTGCCTGCAGCCTCGTGGTCTTCTGCCACTTCGTCCTCATCTGGTTTCATCGACGGCTGCAGTGTCGCGTCGACGACTTGCCAATTCTTCGATTTCTCACGGTCATCCTATCGCGAGTGGCCGAAGCAGTCGATTAGTTGACGGAGTCGCAACGACAGATATCGACACGATACATTGCGATAGCTTACCATGACACTGGAATGCTTGGGTCCGCGAATGCGAGAAGCCAAGGTAGATAAGAAGTCACCGAGGCGACTCTTGCTGGACGTGCGCTCGGTGCTCTCGGTGACTGCTTTGCTTGTTCGCCGCCGGGCCTTCACCGGCGGCGGCTTGATCTCGGGGTGCGATTTCGAGGCGTCCTCAGCTCGACCACGGTGGACCTGTTGCTGCTGTGGCTGCTGGCGACGTTTCCTCGTCGAGTTCGCCAAGCGCACCCCGGTCGTCGTTAAATTCGTCGTCGTGTTCGTCGTCGAGTTGGTCGCTCTCGTCGAGGTGACGGTGTCTCTCGCTCGGGGATTCATTCTGGTCGTTTCTGTCATTTGCACAATTATTTATAATAGCATACCAAGCACCTTTCTTACTTTCCAACAACCACGCTTACATATACTAGGTTATGTGAGTCTTGTATGTTAGTATTATTTTCGATTTTCTCAACACCATATTTGTCACAGATCTTACCGCTCAGTTTCATTGAAATATGTTAAATTTCTGAGCAGTGGAAATAATTAATAAAAAATTAAGTATGCCGCGTCGAGCATGAGATGATTATATATACTTTTGAAATACAATAAGGTTATAAATATTTACTTAACAAAAAATTAATCATCAAACGTAAAAATAATAACTATTTTGGTTACAAAATTTTTATTTCGAAAGTAAAACGTTTTCTAAATGTTGTAAATTAAATTTTAAATTTAGAGCCGAAACATTTTTTTTAATTTTTGGATTTAATTTTTACAACGAGATTGTTACCGACTCATTGTTAGGCGACTGTGTAAATCAAAAATATAAACGACAACCAAACGCTTTTCAACTCCAAACAGAACAATTTCAAATAATTCTTTTACTTATGTTCAAAGGTCGTATAAATTTACTTGAGCAACTGTAGTTTATAAAATACATATACATCAATATTTTCAACGTCATATTTATGAATATATAATATTTAGTTGCACCTTTTTCAAATAAATACCGCACTCGGTTAAAAAAAAAGACGAGTGCCTCACTTTCTATGCACATAGCTCTGCGAAAAACAATTACATAAAAATGGGATTTACATAGCATTGAAATTTAAGATATTGCATAACGATTGATTTATCAGCTGCTCATCTAGACTAAATAGTAAAGCTGTAGCGTCAATCAGAAAAGCAAAAATATGAATTTTCGAGCTATTACGCAACGTAGCACGGCATCACTTCATCAGAAATGCTTAAAACAGTAGGGAAAAATAGTTCAGCTTATAGTTCAAGGTCTTCCTGAAGTAACTGCGATGAAATTTAAAACAAAGCAATTATTTTATTAGGAAGCTTTAGTCTTGGAATAAAGTTATCTGATCAATGACATGTCTAATTACTTAATTATTTTTAGATCTAATGCAAAATATTGAAAAGCTGTCGAACTTTTGAATTTTTCATAAATGTTTGAACATATTACTTGATTGTTTAAATGTGAATGTCTTAAGCAAATGTTGCGTTAGCAGCGCATTATTTTTTCCAAAATACAGTTTTACGTTTTAGCTACAAACGGCGATAAACTATATTGTCGGCATAGCGCTGCACTCGTGCTTACTATAATTGAGATTTTGCAGGCTGGAAAACAGGAAAAATGCCGCTTCGTTTGAAATAATATATTTGAAGAAATATTCAACGGCGTAATGTTGGCATTTAAACACTTAAATAATATATTAAAAAATTAAAAAACTCAAAAGTTTTTCAATGCTTTGCATGAATTCCGAATATAATCGGACAAGCTATTGGTAAGGTAATTTTTTTCGGAGATTGTCGTTCACAAATAAATTAATTGATTTTTTTTAATTGAACCGCAGTTGCTTCAGGAAGACTGGAATTGTAAACTGATTTGTTTCCCGGCGTTTCAAGTTTTTTCGAGGAAACCGCAGTTATGCGAAGTTGCCCGTGCTTGAAATAGCTCGAAAGTCCACGTTTTTTCTCCATTCAATCGGCACCACAACATTGTTAATTGATCTAGGTGAACCGCTTAGAAATAAATTGAACAACATCTGAAGCTTCAACGCTATGTCAGTTCTATTTCCATGCGATTATTTTTCGCAAAAATATATACTGTGCAAGTGAGATGCCTATCTTTTTTTGACCGTTAGTAGTACAACTAACTTATGTTACGTTTTGTACGCTTGTAAATGTAAACACATGATAAATTTTTCAACTTTGTTTTTTTTTGGAGAAAATTTGTCAAACATAAAGACTTATAGCTAGTGAAATGTTAACTTAATAAATGCAACTTTTAGTTACTTAATAAGTAACAATAAATCGATACGAGTTTCAAGCCCTTGCAGAATCAACGAAAACAAACTATTTCTGCCTCCGATATGGTCTCTGTAGAAGAATGCATGGAGAGCTATTTCCTGCAGAGCCACTAGTGTTGATGAAAAAGCATTGAAGCTGGGAAAGCGAAACTAGGTCACCAAATGCCAAACACTCATACTATATATATCTCGAACTTCTAACCGTGACATCAATACTTTTTGCGATAGATTTCAGATATTTGACATTTGATTGAAAACAGCAAAACATTTTGTCATCTGAATCCGTCAAATTCGTGATCAATTTTGTTTTTCCACGGTGATTCACAAAAACGTCGCTGCGTGTTAAAAAATAGGCAGACATTTTTGAAGCAGCTGCGCTGTAGTTTATTTATATGAAAGCGGTATCGGTTTCCGAGGATAGCTCAAAATCTGCTGTTGTAAAAAAATGAAAGTCACGTAATTCATTCATAATTAAAGTCTATCGTTTTATTGTGCTATTTCCTAAAGCAGACTATTTCACAGTCTATGTAATTAAATTATTACACATGGAATAATCACATCACAGAAGAAGAATAAGTTGAGTGAGACAGATGAGACTTTATGTCTTGACATTTCTTAATGCTATTTATATACTTTCTCTCGCGCAAGCATGTGCTAAAAACTCCACCTCTACATGTAGCATTATATATTGTGTGAATTTAACATCTTACAAAGTAACGTTAACAGTCGCATTATCACGACAACAATTATTTATTGGTTCAAATTCTACTAAATCTTCGAAAATGTGTATCTAAAACTCCTATAGATAGAAAATCAGAAATTTAGAAAAGCCCTTTCAACACTCTTCAAAGAATTTGCACAATAATGAATTTTAACAAAGCAATATGTGACAATATTAAATGCGTATCTATTACTTTTAATAAATAATATCATTCGGAACACAAAAAAATATTACATCTGTAAATATTATTTGTCACTAGTTAACGCGACTACTTATTAAAATTTATAGAAAATGCATGAGCTTTTTATTTTGTTGTATTTTTATGTACAACAAGAATACGAAATTGAACATAGATATATCGTTGCTTATGTTTGAAATACAACTAAAAAGTTTTTAAAAGATCCTTCTGCACCTGATTATTCATTACTCACATAACAAATAGAACTTTGAAATTTTTTCATACCCGTCTGTGAGTATAGATAAAAAATTTTGTATATAATCGTACTGGTATTAAAGCTTTAAATAATTATGTTAAATAATAATAGACTCGCATTTGATGACATTGAAAAATATAATGGTATTAATACTTTTTACGTAGTGTTATTACTATTCATGTACACTGGCTAAAATTTACCATTAACGTTAGTATGAGTACGGATGTGCGCTGCGAACTCTATGATCTCTAATAGAGCGTACTAAGTAGTACACTCTTTTGTGACTGAACACGATTACCAGCCAACTATGTGCAAAGTAGATGCGAAGTACTATGAGTGCTCTTAATTTATTTTTAACAGATTATTTTGAACATAATTAAAAATACATCATCCAAGCAAAATAATTTATTAGAATGGTCATGTACCCATACAATTTTTGTATTTTTATGCGAAATTCAAAACGTTATCTTGTAATATTTATGTTTTATAATTCACTGCTATATTCTTTTACAATTCGTTGTTACATTCATTAAAAGTGTATAAAGCTTAATAAAAAGTTAACATAAGTATATTGATACGATGAAAAGACTTCCTGAGTCTATTTATTACTACAACCTAAACTGTCCATGATACAAAATAGAAAATACTACGTATCATGCTTATACAAGCGGATAAAACAGAAGTAAATAGTTAAAAAAATGGATTGGCGCGAATAGTCCACCTCGCTTCTGTTTTATTTGACTTTGGTATGTATTGTCGATCTTATTGGGATTGGAACTGAATTTAGAAATGATCATTTTAGTATACCGAAATAGAAATATCATGGCAACATTCTACATAGTTTAACGCGAATTGACGAATATTTATCGATTTTTCTATGTACACTTATAGAAAAGTTCTGTAAATTATATATACGAAGTTGAGGTATATACAACATCCGCTGTATTAAACAAACAACGTTATTAAATATTAATACAAATTCCATTTTTGAATGTAGTATATAACCTAGTTTTCATTAGGGTTTAGCTTATTTTTACTATTAATAGATTCAAGCGAACACTGCTAAAATTTTAAAAACATGCTGATATTTTAAATAAATTGAAAAAATAACTGACTCAACTAAAGAAAAATCAGTCTAAATTATTTATAACGCAAGTTACAGTCCACTTACTGTAAGGTTCGATTTTAAAATGCTTTCTAAACCATACCATGTAATTAAAAAAAAGTACTTCCCAAGAGTAATCTTAATCCCCTAATGAAAATATCTAGAAATTCAATTATTGTCATTTTGCAATCATTTAATTTGAATGCTTACCTTCTTCGTTAATACGACTTGAGAAGGTCGTTTGTGCATAAAGAAACGCACAGGTTCCAAGATTGAATTTTGAACTAAGTTAAAATGAATATAAAATTAACAAGACACGTACACTCGCGCGTTTATAATAAAATGAAAAAGTAATGTTGGCCCTGCGATTTTATCCACCTCGTGAGAGACACCGTCAGTAACTAAAGTACTAGTTTAACGTTGACGGAGCGCGAGTCTCTCTCCTCTCCTCACTCTCTCTCTCTCGCTCGCTCGCTCGCTCACTCTCTGACGCTCTTTCTTTTTTTGTAACACGCACACGTAAGCTTGATACACTTACATATCCGCAATAGCTATGTAGTCGCGTGTGTTTGTAGGTAAGTGTGAGGGAGCTTTAACAAAGAGAGCAAGTGCGATGAGCTTTTCCAATTGCAAACTCGGCAACGTAAAACGTCACCACGGCTACGCCAACGGCCTGCTGCGGCTAGCTACCAGTCTGCCATAAACGATTAGCTCATTGATACGAATTACGGGTACAGCAAGGACTGCGTTTTTTTATTAAGCATTCAACTCTTACATAAGATTTATTAGATATACAATGTTAATTTTAACATTTTTTAAATTTTATTAGTTGTTCATTATCTAATGAGCATTGCAACCAATTATGAAGTGGTCTTAGTCTTGATCTGATGTACGGCATATACACATAGGATCTTCAATTATTCTGATCCTAAATACAGACGCGGTTAAGTTATAATGAGTTGATCGATATCGACTTATGGTGACTAAAGTTCGCGCGTTAATCTTTTACAATCGAAATAAAGCCTACAATGGTTCGAGTAGTAGTTAGTGAAATATTATTGCCTTTTGTCAAGGTCCATTCTATATAAAATTTATTTTATAGCGTTATGTATTTTTTTAATGTTCTTTTAAACTAGTAAAAATTGTATTTTTTCATTATCCAAATTCTCACTGAGTTCATTTTTATAGCTGCAAAGTATGTTAGGGATTCAGTATAATTATTGTACACATCGATATTGTTAATTTTTTCTAAGATAAGTTCATAATACTTCTTTTTCATTTCTAGAATGTGAGGGTTGACCTGATATTTATTTGACTACCTTGCAGGGTTTCAAATATATTTAGTTAGTCTGATAAGATATTTTGATTTTTAAAGTTAGTAACAATATTAAAGGCGTCACTTACGTTACACATTCAGCTGTACATATCGAAGTTTTAGGATACATATTTCTTTGCTTTATATAGTTTCATGTTGAGCAGATAAAAGCTATTTCTTACGTCATTCTCATTTTTATCTTTACTTCCGTCTGTGTAAATCTCTATGCCATTATCATTTTCTGTAAAATCGTCAAATTTTGAAATCGAGTTTGCAGTCTCATTTCTATTCCTATATTTTTAATAAATGGGGCATTAGTAACATGTGTTTAATAGCTCTGATGATATATAAAATTAATCTTGTAATAGGACAGCTATTTTTAATAATAGCAAGACAAATTTCAAAAAGTCTCTTTCGTTTTTTTTAGATTTAAAAAGTACTCTTTGGTAGTATTTGTTATGTAGGCTTGTGTTACTTGTAATTTTAGCACACGCACAACGAGAAATGAAGCTCTTTCTTTAATTATCGGTAATTTAGTTTCCCTAATAAATATACTTATAGATATAGACCTGCGATATTCGTAGGTATTCGAATAGTTCTACTTTGTACATACTCGATTGTTTGCATTGATTCTTTTTTGAAGGGTAATGTACAAAACAGCCATATTATATAATTGATCGAACGTAACTTTGACATCAAATTAAAAATGTACAAGAATCTGCTCTCCAAGTTCTGCAGAGATATTTTATGATATTGATGCTCGGTTACGTGTTGAAAACTGTATTATTCTGGGGTTTGAAATTCATTTTATTATCAAATTTTATTTCTAGGAATCGTAGAATATTAGAGGATTTTATTTGATATTTAATGTTGATTTCAAGCTCGGTTTCCTCTCGGTCAATATTTTGAATGTTAAAATTAATAAATACAGTTTTATATAAAACATGCTCTAGACTTTTAGAATATACTTTAACTACAGTTTTTATTTTTGGAGAAAAACGCAATGACATCAGAAAATTAAGAGATAGACACAGTGTTTATTATTTTTTTCGAAATATCCACTATTTATACGTATGTTATATATAATAGTCAGCTCAACACTCCTCCTCGAGGGACAGCTTTATAAGTATATTTTACGTTATCCAATATGCTAGTGTAAACAAACCTTTCATAGATTAGGAATGTAATAAATTTAGCCAAAGTCATTGGACAACCAATGTTTGCTAGCTTTTGAAAAAGAATATCGCTGATGAGATCAAATGCTCCACAGATATTTATAAATAGTTATAATAGTTTATAAGTTCTTTTTTATCTTTGAAGACTTAGTATGGTGGATGTAAGATTTATAATATTGTCAGTACATGAATGTCCCTTGCGAAAACAGCACTAGTTCTGCGGTAGTAAATTTTGAGTCTTCACGAGTCTCCCCACCTACCACTACATCTTATTTTTAACTAGTGTTTCAAAGAGTTTGCATACGTATGGAGTTATAAGCGCTATCGATCTAAAGTTTATTCTATCGGGTTTCGCTATAAAATGGATGTACGTTTTTTACAGTCTTTTAGAAAGTCTTTAGTACGATAGGTTTGCTTAAATATACTAACAAGTATCAGTGTGTATTAGAACAGTAATTTTTTAAGAGTAAAGTAGTCAATTCCATCTATTCTGACAGAGAATTTGTTTTTATGTGATGATAGTGCTAAATTAAATTCTGCAAAGGTGAATTCTGATTCTGAAAACTTATTTTCACTACAAATTGATATTTAGCCTTTATCGCGTGGGATTCAGGTTAAAAAAATTTTGTATAAAGCTAATTCTTTTCTATTATTTTGTAAATTTTCAGTGACAAGATTAAGCCTAATTTTAGGCTGTTCTTAATTTTGACCATTTGTTTTTCAGTATTTCATAGGTATTCCAAAAACATAAGAATCATCGGTTTGAAAATTAATTGATTGAGCAAAGTTATGATAGTTTTCTTTATGTTTTGTAAGTTTTCCGTCACTTGCTTTTATACAGTTGAGCTCGATGAAATCAGCAAATTGTTTCCATCATTTAAGAGATTGATTCTTGGTGACTTTGTTTAATATTTGTCGTCTCACCAGGATAGCAAATTTCTGTGCTGTTTTATGCTTACTTTTATTTATTTATTTATTTTTTTAGTTGATAGATTTACTTTTAATTTCAACAAATAGATTATATTTTTCTTTTATAATAAAATCTTATAATTCTTTTTATGTTTTTCAATATTTTATAAACAATCCAAGATTTTGGAAGAAGCTTCAAAATAGTTCATTTATCCGCATAGCTCGACACGTCATTCAATTTTAGTTGAACATCTGCAACCAAGTTCAATTTAAATTTATTTGGCTTTTCTGTTTCAGTTTGTTCATAATATTTTATAAATTTGATTACGATTAGAAAATGTCAAGTTTTCTATTATAACCTGATTATTCAGCATGTCATTCTACTAATTTGTAATTTATTGAGTAAATCATTAACGAAATGAAGCGAAGCACATTTTTTTGCTCGTTTTGATTCAACAGGTATTCTTCGTTCTTCGGATGTTTGTTAAATGATTGGCTCGTATCATATTGTTCATCAATCAACATATCACACGATCATTGTAATCATTGATTATTTTTCAAAAAAAGATTCTTTAATTTTTGTTAAATAATTATATTCTGATCGTGCATTTTTACTCATATTTTATATGCATATTCTTCAATTAATATTGAATAATTTTCCAACTTTCTTTAATTCGTTATGCATACGAACGATTTTATTAAGCATCTGTTACAGGTTACACTCAAAACTTGTATTCTCGAATTGAACGAAAAGCTTCACGTATAGGGTTGGGTAACATTATGGATTTTCTGCTTATCTTCTTACGTTTGTTGAAGACATTTTTACAATACTTGAAATTCATTGTAATTATCATTGATATGAATGCTAAATATGCACATTTGGCACTATCCATTAAACGAGACAGATGGCAAAGGTCAGACAGACGGCAACGGAAATAGGCTTAGACTGATGCTCTAAACAAAGCGCTGGTTATTATCCCTTACTGCGTCTTATATTATCTTCGCTCTATTAATTTTAATGACTATTCTCATATAAAAAGGACAAGGAACCCAACGGAAATATAATTTTGAAAATAACAAAATACTTTTTAGACATACGCATTTGTTTAATAAACTTTTTTGATGTTATTGTTTTACATGTATTAATTATCGTTAATAATTAATATTAATAATTAATATTATGGCTTAATATTATAGTTTTACAAGTATTAAAAAACTGATATCAATAGCTTTAACAATGGCAGGGATATGAATTTTTGAATAATTTTCAGAAAATTCTTTGATTGTTAATAACTTTTGATCTACACGTAATGGTTTCAACATTCACATTAAAGATTACTACTATATAGACAATACTAATCCAAGTTTCAGAAAAATTGGTCACCTATACTGAAGCCGATCGTAAGAGCCTAGATCTAGAACGTGTCATACATCAAACATTCTCTGTTAAATTAAAAATACTTGCATATTCATGTGAGGAGACTATAAGTTTATAAAGTAAAGTTATAAAGACTATAAGTTTATGAAGTAATAATTTTTTAACAAAATAAGAAGGTGGTCCAACTCGTCTGGAAATATTTTTTATCCGTGCATGAATCTTTTATTATAAATTGTTGCTCACCAAAGTTCAAATCATCTATTTGCAAAGAAAACCTCTTTTACCAAGATATTTTATGAGATATTATACAAAAAATCTTATTATAAAAGTGAAAATAAATATGTTCGTTTTCAAAACAAAATATATGTTTCTTTGAAGATTTTTTTTCCTTGAGTTACAATAATCAGTCAACAGTTATTACTTGAATAAATCGAAATAAAATATAGTTTTAGAGCTTCGAATAGATCCTCTATAAATATTTCGATAGGCCAAATTTCAATATAAAGTTGGATTTACTCCATCATCCTTCAATTTCTTCATAATTCATACAAAATAAAGGGAAAGAAATACCCTGTGTTTTCTACACGATTTAATAAAAGTGAAGGGCGAGGGAGCAGTTCTGATGTCAAATTTGTCGATAAAAGATGAAAACACGTAGGACGTCAACAGAATAATGAATCTTTTGCAAAACATAAATTTTTTCTGTATTACCTTGTTCGCGGCATGTGCGCTTCACGTGCGCATATGTCCCAGGGCTGAAAGTATTCGCAGCATGTGCGCCTCGCGTGTGCATCAGCCCTGGGTTAAAAGATAATGCCCAGTTAAGACTCTCTCGACTCTCAGCCTTTGGCACGTACAAAACCTGAAACCTTCGCTTTGTTCAGGCGCACGTAATACCAGGGATAAGGACGGCGCGCTAATTAGACCGAGTTTAGGTAGCCAGCTATCTTTTAGGAATCGCATCCCTTTCTAGTCCCTCTGACTTACTCCCCTCCCTTCGGGGCCTAACGAGCTAAGGGTATTTCCTTCTTTTTTTTCTTGTGGGTCTGTCTGTCTTCGACACTTCTTCTCGTACAGTCCGAGTTCTAGTTGTTGCGTTCGCACTGCGACACCCAAGTTTTTCTGGACTCTGCTATTCCGACGCGCTCGTGAAAACTTTGTAACGCCGATTCATCGCGATAATAAGTGTAATTGTAAATATCAAGAGTTACTTGTGAGTGTGAGTGGGTATTCGGTGGTGTGATCACCGCTTAATAGAATTCTGATTCAACGACGCGAGGACTATTTGGCGATACGGGCCTAGCTGGGGATAGGTGCAATATCCTCTGAGGTGTCTCTGCCTGTCACATTGGACAGACCAGCTCACCTCGCCTATAAGGGCAACGTAGTAAGGGCTGTGCCCTTGTCCAAGACGTTGGTGCTGCGGGGCCCTAGGAGGCATCTCCCTCCTTTCGCACGGTGAGTGCAAGCGGCGTTATAATTGCGAGTTAGCCACGTGAAATTAGACGTATGGTAGCATGTAAGCATTCTGTTTGTACGCGCACCTGAATGGCTTTTTCCTCCACGTGTAACTGGGGTTTTTTTATGCCGGCCACGTATCACGCTTTTAGTACGTCAATTAATGGCTAAATCGTCAATGATCTTATATGAAATGGCCTTATATGAATAAAGTGTGATTCAAGTATAAGATTCAACATGGCCACAGAGACGTGGCAAGGGAGGTTGAAAGCTCAACCGAATAGTTAGGGGGAGGGGGCTTTTTGCACAAAGTATCAATGAAAAGAGTTGAAATGTAGAAATATACGGATAAGGGGCAGGGGTGCAGCAGCAGCCGAAGTGAGAGCAGTAGTTATTGGTATAGGCGCGTTCTCTATCTCTGCGGCTTTGCGCGAGCAGCGTACGTAGAGCAGTGCTGAGAGCGCGAAAGAGACAGAGAAGCGCTGCTGCCTATCGATCGTCGGCTCGCAGGCGACCGCCTGACGTCGGCACTCGACAACGCGCGCACACCCCGGCCGCGCGACCCCACTTTTCTCGGGCGCTTAGTAGCAGCTAGAACCGGATTCGCGATATATCGCCATTCGCCGCGGCTACGCGGCCAAAGACACTCGCTATCTCTCACCTCGTCGAAAAATCTATCACGACCCCCGCAGCTACGGTGTGGCCCGCTCGTGGATCTGAAGGAACACTTGGCAACTGAACAACGCCAGGCAACATCATCCAACCCCCTTGTAGGATCGCGTCTCTATCAGGACAACGTGCACGTGCTGCTGTGTGTTGTTGAACCTACTCTCCGAGGACTTCCACCACTCTCGCTCTCATCCTCGTCTCACGGCGAGTCAATCTGGTAATTGCAAAATCGTACTCGTCACACGACTGCTCGATTGAAATGGGTCCATTCTGTGCGCATTTTCGTCCCCGCTCCCAATCCTTTTTTCTCATCTGCCTTCTTTTGCGCAGTTATCGCTCGAATTCTCCTCGCGCATAAGATACATTTGCACTATTTACTTGAAACCCTTTTCACTTTTTTGCATGCAATTTCAATTTCTCGCATCATAATGTATTAATAAACGATTAACGATTTACCTTACGGCTGGAGCGAATTGTCGGACTTACATATCAGTTTTATGAATTTTGTTGTCCTAATTTAGATATCGGAATAAAAGTAAAAAAATTTCTTTGCGTATAACATAATTTGCTTCTTCAATATTTTCCACGAATATTTATTAGAAAACATATACAACACTTATACGATTGTTATTCGATAAAATACGTCATTCTATTTTTTTTATTTTTACTTGTTTTAAAATTTATCAAGTTTCTACAGATTGCATTTGCATAAATTTACCTACGGCGCTTCCGTATAATTTATAACCTGTATTGAAGTTTCATTGTCTATTGAAAATCTTATAACTTTATTAATCGAGGTAATCATTAAGGTGTTTTGTTAGGTGTTTTTATGTCGAAAAGTAGTTAAACTAAATGCTCAAATCCCAATAACATTCAAGTTGGCAGTCCAATGGATTAACCAGTCAGGCTTTTTTTATCTTTACTACATCCAAGTAAATAAAATATGATACAAATTAAGTTAATTAATGCAATTTGAAAATTGATGCGTGCTCTCGAGGTTAAATTTGGAACCGCGTGCGACAAAATGTAATATAGGTTTTAAATAAAAGCCTCGCTTCACAACATGATGTAATATCAAAGAATGACCATGGGAATCAATGAAGCGTGCAATAAATAATAGATACCGTTATTATAGCGCGCGTTCTGCGAATACTTGTTACCATCAACCTGAACTAGAGCCATTGCCTTGAACTTGCGAGAGGTACTAGAGATTATTCTTTATTGCTTTTACTATACATGTAGATATTGTTATTACGCAAGCTACTTGTAACAATGGCGCCAATCTACACCAACGATTTACTAGCTAATAGTACGTTTATTTATGTAAATGCAAAATAACATCATTAGCTTAGATCACTCACTATATACGTGATAATTTCATATTATGTTTATCATATACCTGTTGTAGCTTAAAACTTTATACGTCTGTTAAAAATGAATAAGACAAACTGATTTTATTATTACTACTTTCGAAATATCTTCATTGTTGTACATAATAATCATCAAAATCTGCATACTGCAAGTATTTAGTCAATAAAAAAATATACGAAGAAGGTAAAATTTATGTGATCTAGTTTCTGTGAAAATTTTTAATAACATATTCACTTGTTGCAACTTTTTCACTGTTTCGCTGATACGAATGTCATTATATTAAAAATATTAGTTGACTAATATTACGTTGCGGATAAAAGAATTGACTCGGAGCAAAGTGGCTATTTGAAAGTTCTTATAACAGTACACTAGAACTATTGCATAACAATGAATGCGACCGTACAGATTATGCGATAAAGCAGAATGAACGAAACCTCATCCAAAAGAAAGAGAACGCGTAAAAAGGAAAGAGATGTATAAGAGAAACGGAAACAAAAAGATTAGTAGACTGAAATCACGCGAGCGGGGAATAAAAGCATAGAATATAGAAGATGAAGAGTCGTTTTTGTTTGCATGCGACCAATTATGATCGAGCTTGCACGTGCCTGTCTTTTATACATAATGAGAAATTTGTTATAAGCAAAGTTAAATCTTTTTTATAGATGTATGTAAACATATACAAGTCAATGCGTATATTAACTGTATTGTTTACGAGCTGTTTTGAATTCTCTGATTTACCCTTCAGTGATATTCAAGTGGTAATGTGTCGAATGATAATTGACTTGATAAACTGTTTTTTTATTTGCAGGTGTCGAGCGAAACAACCAGACACGTACAAAACTTATGCAGGAAATAAGTATCTTTATAATATTTTTCTAATCAAAGAAAGTGATTGTCATCAGATAGCAATTGTGACAAAATGTGTATTAAAGTATTTGAGTGATGAATGAATCTCATTTACCATAGCTAGTGTGACGAAGACGACTAATTTTCTACTATCAAAGCTAGTAAGAAGAACATTGCCTCTGCCGTTCACCACCAAGGTTCAGGTTTAAGGCTCTGCATTCTTCGTAGTTCAATTTGACGTGATTTTGAAATTTTAATTCAACTATATTTACATCTCTTTAAAACCAGTTTGAAACTAGTGCTACCTTTCGGACATATCGTCGTTAAAGAAGAGCATCGTTCTCTCAATAATAATTCAAGTGCTTCCACTGCTATATAAAGCAGCGTCATGCCGGTGTCAGCTCGATGGTATTAGTGTATGAAGTGCTCGGAGAGAAAGTGATTATCGACAAAGTTTATCAATTCGGAGTGGCAATAGAAACGACGTATTGGCAGCAATGTCGGAAATCGAGCAAACCAGCGCAACTGCGCCAGTACCTGCACCAAGTCGAGTGACAATTCAGCCACCAGTGCTCCAGGTGGCGTCAAGAATGCTGCGTTCGCCAAGCCACGAAAGTGTCACCACGGATCTATCGTTATTCAGCGTCTCATCCATCGCCAGTGACGTCAAGTGTGCCAATCGCTTAGCAACCTTCAAATCCTACAGTGATGTGCACTTGTCAGCTCGTGGTCCCTCGCCAAATCCAGACTCCAGGCTACAGGTGCAAGGCAACAGGTTAGCATTGCTTTGATATTTATGATTTTCATTGGAGTCACTCATGACCGACCTACTCTTGAAACATAGCTTTATTACTTGGTCATTCGACGTCTTTCAATGAAGTCGCGGCATGAGTGATGGCAGCTCTGGTGACGGCAAATCTCACAAATCTCAGTCGATGTTTCTTGCCACGTTACAACTGCAACGTTATTAATTTCACAAACACTGCACTCATTGGACAGCTAGTATTAATAGCGAAAGCAACAGGTGACGTTCACATGGTAGTCGGAGTACGCAGCCAGAGCTACTTTGGCTGCCTACTCAAGAGATGAACTATGTGTACGTCGCATCGTTCTTGAATACTCCCTGGAGTACTGCAACTGATAGTACCCAACTCAACTCGATCTCGTGAAATCTGCCGGACAAATTAGATATAAATCATGAAAACGCATAATCGCGAATTGTTCCGATGCAATGGCCATTCTTTTCTCGGTTTGATTAGTTGCTAGTGAGCGAAATAACTCTGAATAGCGTAGAGCCCACTGGTTTGTTCGAAAACTAGAGGCGCACAAGCAACTTGGCTCAGCAAGCTTGCAAAAAAATTGCGAAAGTTGCGAGCGACCGGAGTTGCCGGCGCTTGAAGGCAGGGCCGAGAAGCGGCTGGTGACTGGATTTGGGCTTGCAGGCCGGCGGACATCCCAGAGATCCTGTGGTTCGAGGAGGAGACCGAGCTGATCCGCAGCTGTGGCGCGCTGTCGTCAGCGCTGGGCCTGCAGAAGAGCTTCAGCACGTCGGACGTGTCGCAGCTGCCGAGCCCGGAGGCCTGCGGCGGGGGCCGGGGCATGCGCGCGGCCGTCTCGTCGCACGGCCTCGACCTCGCCCACCGCGACCGACTGCTGCTCGAGCAGGCACGTCTCGACCATGCCTCGCGCTCTTGCAGCACCTGGGTGGCCGTCGGTGACGTGGCTAGTACCTCGCAGCTGCCCAGCCCGCACGGCGGCGCCGCCAGCCTGCCAGCCGCCGCCGCGCTCGTCGGCCAGCAGCAGCCACAGCCCGGCCAGCTGGGCGCCCCGGCTCAGGCCTCGACCACACTGCCTTTCACGGCCGCCGACCTCGTGCGCTCGGTCAACAAGAAGGTCCGCCAGAACTACATTCGGCGCAGGTCAGTCGATCGTCGCCCGCCGCCGCTGCAGCGCCCATCGCTCATTCGACTGCTTGCAGGTTGCTCACCACCTACCGGGCCCTCGAGCGCCTGTCGCAGAGCGAGTTCAACCTGGACCGGCTGGAGGCGGCGGCCTCGGCGGCGCAAACTTCGGCGAGCGCCGCGCTGGTGGTGCCCGGCACGTCTCTGGCCGGCTCGTCCGCCGCGATAGCCGCCCTCCTACCCGGGCGCACGCCCGCCCGGGACCACGCGCTCACCATCAAGGACGTGGAGCGCGAGCGCGGTAAGCAGCTCTCCAAGTACGAGCGCAACATGATGATTTTCAACTGGCTGCACACCCTCGACGACAGCGAGAAGGACGAGACTGCTCAGTAGAACCACTCGCCTCCCTTCTGCTCTTCCTTCTTCGTCCCTGCTGCGCTGACGGCCTTCACTCTTCCGCCGAGTGCTGCTGCCTGAAACTATCGTGAACGCTGGAGTGAGTTCGTGAGTTCCGTTCGAGCCCGATCTTACTTTTTCAAAACTGACGCATGCGCTTCTTCACTGGCACCACGAGCATTGCATCCGTTTTTTTATTTCTTTTTCTTATCGTTTCATTACAAAAGACTATCGAAGGGAATCAGCAAAATTATATACTATGATCGGATGATTATATAGTATCAACATCAACGCAAACAAAACTATACCGACAAAAGTTCAAGAAATACATCGCATTTTACAAATTTTACTATTTTTATAACAAAACGTATTTTTAAAACTGTTGAATTCTTTACTATTCGTTGATTCAAAACAAACATATATACAACTTATGAATTTGAAACTAATAAATATTACGAATATTTTGTTTTATTTCGATTGAAATAAGCTGTCATAAGAGATTTCAATACCAAAAGATGCGGATAGAGTAAGTGCAACGGTTACCGTTTATTCAAGTGTTCCCATTTCCGCTGGTTACAATCAATACGAAAAACGTCTAATCTATTGAAATCTATCGTATTAAGTCTCTCAAATAGATATAGTATCGTGAAATAATAATTTTTCGTATATTCAATTATTTTTGCAATTGTTTGTTTCAATTAATACAGATACAAGTAAATTCTTCTATTTACCTAGCAAATCTTATTTTCTTATCCAGTCACTCTAATTAAACCACATATTGTACAGTAACATTTGACAAATCTTAATTAAATTTGTAAATTGTAAATTACGGGTAACACATTTTTTTGGAAGTTATAATGAACAGTGGGTGACATATCAGTAGGGGTCATCCGGATACTGGTGCACTTACTCTAACTAAATGTTAATGTTGTTTTTTCAAATATTTACCTCAATGTGAGGACAAAATGTGTTTCTTTATCTATCGATATTGTAGCAGTCTTTCACATTAATATAAAAAATGTATACTTTCAAAGTTTAGACAGGGGTATTATTTTTGTTAATGCTAAGCCTCAAATTCAAGCTCTAGAAATACATACCGAGTAAGACTGTGAATAAGATAACAACTGCAAGCATATCTTTAGACATATATTTTACTCAAGTGTTGTATACGTTACATTTAGAATTCATAGGTAATTTATATACACATAAATAACTCTGCTCAAAATTTGTTCTTTTTTTCTTAAGGAATATGTTATAACATTGTAGAATGCCTTAATTTGGCAATATCAAACTGAATAAACTTAAAACATTAACGGAATAATAATTATAAATGATATCAGTACGAAAAATCAATTGTGTACAAAGCAAAGAAGTACTAAATGTGCCTAAAACTATACTAACTATGTGAATACTGATTTAGTTGAAGTAAGTTTCTCTTAGATATTTATAAAATATCAGTTGTACTCTCGCGAACGTACGTATAAGGCGCTAATATCCAGTGGCAGCATAAATGTGAACAGCCAAAGTGTATAATAATTCGTTATGTTAATTTAACGACTCACTCTAGCGCTTCTTTATAGTTTGCAACTATTGTTCTACTGTAAATTAAACAAAAGTTAAGTATTGTTGATCACGTGAGTATTGTATTCGTCAACGCTTCATCTCGCTGAAATTTTATGGAATTGTTGGGATTTCTAGCAAAAGATATGCATCTGGTCTGAAAATCAAGTTTGTTTTTATTATACAAGTTGTTTATTATAAATTATTTTAGAAAATATTTATAACGCGACAATTTTGTAGAAATATTTATTCTTCAAACATGATTTAAAAGCTTTTCAAATTAAAATATATTAAGTAAGAACATTTTATAACAAACGATATAAATACAGATAACATTCCGTGAATACATACACGTTTCAGTGTACCAGTTTATTCGACTAAATTGAAATAAATTGTTTTCTGATATAATTTTTTGTGCTGTAATTATTTATTTTCAAGACATTGTCCTTATTTTTTTTTCATACAAGGAGAAATGCAATTACGCACTGCCGGCCTCAAGCTGAGGTGTGTAGGACTCCACAGAATGTGAATACTCACTAAAACCCCTTATCTTTCCGAGTGATGTTCTCCGGAGATGGCTTTATTGTCTGTTGCCAAATTATGATGGAAGAGCGCAGATTATCCTGATGCATGAGAACGCTGAACTATTCTACCCGACCCCCTGACGCACAAATAGAACCATAGCTGTCATTTGGTTCCATCGGGTCCAGTAGGTGTAGGACCCTTGTAATACCCTCGTTGTTATGCCTTTTAATAGCTACCCTGGGATTTTCAATTCGCTTCCGATGGTTCATGCAAATGTTCCACTCCACACTCCTCGCCAACACAGGGTGCACGAAAGCACTCGAATTTCGCTAGTAGGAACCCCGATCTTCTTGGCGGCCTCGGATTTCACGGAGGCAAGATAGTATTTTCCCCCTTTTGTCTTATGACTGTCGTTGAGTGGCACAGAACCACCCACGACCTGGGCATCCACTATGTACCCTTACCTTTATGAGCTATAAGTATGTTCGTCTTCCTAAGTTCATCAGAAAATGGAAAAGTTCAAAGATTCAAGTTCGAAGATGGTGTTCACAGATAACCCTAATCTGGCAGTCGCGCAGATGAGAGGCCAAAGTCTTCGTGATTGCATCGTGCCGCTTAACCCTACCCCCATCAGTATAGAAGCAGTATTGGATGACGTGTGCGGCAGTTTCGGTGAAACCAGAGCCAGCTCGGCATTAAATGTTCGTCTGCACAAGTTTTTGGCCCCTACATAAGAACTCGGATCGGGAGACTGTTGATGCACACATGATGGTATTGTACGTAGTCTCTACCAGGAACTTCCATACAGCGCACATCGACCCACGCTGTAGATGCGGCGGTTCTTGAACAGTCCCGTAATTCCCTCCTATCAACCGACTCGTAGAGTCGGTCGACCTAATACGTCACTCACTGTTCTGAGCTATAGAGTTCCCTGCCATCGGCTTTGAGAACTCTATCGGTCCAAGCGATCTTGTTTTGGACCTAGTCAAACACATCCTTGATGGTACGGAAGGATGAATCCTTTCAAGCCGACTACGCATCAGGCCAGGAATCGTAGTAACGAAGGAAGGGATCCTAAGTCCCCCGTCTCTGCACGCTGCATGGACGTAAGCTACCGGAAAATATTTAGGAAGACGTAACCATCTTCGGACATCAGCTCTCACTTGAAGGTCTAGCTGTCGTAAGACCTTCAATGTAGCTCCAGACAGCACCAGAAGATGGTAACATCTGGTAATTAGGAAGCAACGCAAGATCTTAAGTCGCTGCTATAGCTTCAAGGGGGCCCGCGTTATGCACTGTAATTCCACCTCTAGAGTCGGGCTCGCTTTCTTTAACCCCCTCGGGCTCAGATTAACGCCTAGGTACCGCCATTCGTCAGATGGTTTCAATTGACGAATTTCAGCACCACCCGACAGGGTGAATTGTGGAATAGTTAATATTTTAACTTTTTTGTATCGACCAGATGGTATAATGGAGGTAGCAACGCATTTACGCTGTCTGGCTACATTCTCTGCTGCCCTTAACGCTGCAGATATACCGGTGGTAGATGATGATATTAGACATATATCATCTGCGTACGCTACGGCGCCCATTAAATGACCACGCTCAAGTTCATATCCGTCCGTTGATAGTATTGCACGCACTACCCTGTCAACGACCAACGAGAAGATGACGGTACTTATGAGATCTCCTTGCCCAATTCCCCTATTTACAACTATTTTTTCCGACCTCTTCCCCCGTACCTCCAAGATAATAGCGGAGGTAGCATTACATCATTTACACATACTCCACCAGAGTCCCAGGAACACCAAATGTTAACTTCTGTGCGGCAGATGTTGCGCCATGGTGTGTACGCATATGATTCGCCAAACTGCGACTGGTGGTAAAGTATCGCACAGGTTGTCAAATCGAGCGGCATATCGATTCAGCATCTTCAACAGGGAGCATTAACGCGCTCGGGGATCGAGCATTCGAGGCAGCGTTCTTAGTGTCTGGAACGAGACTGGCACTCCGAGGCTGATACCGGCGTATGGGACATTGCTCCGCATTTCTTGTTGTTCTTGGTGCTCGTTCCTAAAACGACTTCCGGGTTGTAGGCCCAGAAGCCGCTGTACCTCCGGCTACAGGGGTTATTCAACTTTGTTTTAGGTGCCTCACACCGTGGAAGCCGGACGAGCACTTGGATGGGCTGCACCCTTGAGGCACCCTAGCACCGAAGTGTGTAGCCTCCCTCGTTCACTACCGATCCAAGGACCGGTACCCGGCACCCACCACGGAGAGATGAGAGTAGGCACTTGGCAGCAAGATGTTAAGCCATCTTCGGGCAAAGGAAGTAACTATGTCTTTAGGCAACCCCCCATGCCACGCGCATTGCTTTTAACAACACGCATAACCGAGGGATAGCTTAACCCGGACTCGTCGCTCCAACCATGATATTTGCACAAAGTAACTTGGCCAGCCTCGCGGCCGGCCAAATGGTGCACAATGTGCATCATGTCTTCGCAAAGCGATCCGAGCAAGAGAGTCATAATTACTTTATTAGTAGGACACGACTCACACCAAGCAGCTAGTTACAACTATCTGTTCTTAAAGCGGAGGGTAACATCGAGAATAGCTTTGCCATTATTCACCTTGACGACGAGGTCCGGCTTATATCTCTTCCCCTGGTATACGAATATTTACTCGACAAGTACTATTATAGATTGCTCTTCTTTTCCATTTTTGTAGCAATCATTTCTTTTATTTCATCGTGACGATGAATCCGCTGATCTTTGGTGGAAATGCATTCCTCCAATATATGTCCCAGTATCTCGAATCGGACTTTACACCTTCTACAGCTGGTGTCAAAATTCTCGTTATATAAGCCCAAAAATCGCCGTATACACATCCTAGTCGGATATGTATTTGTCCACAATGTGATAGCATTCGCTATTCTCGAGTGTTTAAGCAGAGTGTGGTCGGTCAGCCATGCATTGCTCAGAGGAAATTTGAAATTTGAAAAATTAGTTAGAACGAAGTCTCCACTTTCGTGAAGAGAAGACGAGGTTCAGTCACCGCCTTTAGCGGTGTTCAGGGAGACGACGTGGACCTACTCGCCCCGGCACTAAATTGTTATTTGTACCTGCTTCGCCGTCATGGCATAGTCCGTATCTAACCAAACGACTTGCATCGGTGTGCTCCGTCTTAGGAAGCTGACTCGTAGCAGTGACGGGACTCTCCACCGCTTCTCCCTCGTTACGAGGGCCGGCCCAACTCCAGCTTCCTGGGCAATATACCGAGTTCGCTGAGTAGATCAATTAATCATTTCTGTCAGGCTTCGATCTACCCAGTGTTGTCCTTAGAAGGACAATTTGATGGATCCTCTTAACACAAAAAAACTAGATAAATAAATAATAAATAACATAGAGTAACACCAAACTCTACACAAAGTTAATATAATAAAATCTATTTAGCTATCGCCTGTCATTTCTTTAAAAACTTAGCATGTCATGCGAGTAAAAACAATACTCTATGCCTGATCGTCAATATATAAAATATAATAAATAGAACGATATATAATAAATTAGGACAATACAAAATGATAATATTTCCTATCGGGACGTAGCATTGTAAGATTAGTCTGTCGTTCTCTTTCACTCGTCCATGAAGACGTTTATCATCTCCACCGCACTCCTCAACGCTATCATTGAGATGGTACGCCATTCCCTCTTGGGAATTTTGAGCAAAGTAATCGCCTGCCTCGTCTCCACCGGCAGCGCTCCTCTTGAGCCGACCACTAATGGCAGATCCTTTGTCCTTCCTTAAGTATTTTTGGATGACTCTCAAAACTCCTAAGTATTTTCTCCTCTTTTTTTCGTGGCCTCTGGCAAGTCAGTCTCTGTTCTCGTACCGAACTGTAACACTGAGCATGAGAACCCCCAACTCGTTCGTTCTCACGATGAGATCGGGTTTGAAACCCTCACTATTGATCCTGACTTCAGGCTCGTCAAGTACCGGGTACTTTGTTCTAAGATGAGTCTTTAGCAGGTCCTTTATCTAATCATGCCGATGGATCCGCTTGCTCTTGGTATATCAATATTTGCCTAGTATATGTCTAAGAGTTTCACTATCTCCATGGCAGAGTCGGCAAGACGAGTTGACTTGCTCATCGATGATCTGCTGAACCGCTCTCGTCGGGACCATGTTTGTTCGAAGCGTGATAGCATCGATGATCCTCGATAGACGGAGAAGATCTGTGCGGCCGAGCCATGCATTTGTTATCTTGACTCCAGCGAAGTCCTTTACTCCCTGGCCTTGCCACTTCTGCTTTGCCCAATTAAGCCAAGAAAGCCGCAGGGCCTTGGCGAAATCTTGTAGTTTCGCCGTTGCCTTTGGCTGGGAAATCGCTCCACGCATTGCCGGGTCAGGGGAGTCCATCACTTTCAAGCCTTGCCGAAGCGGCAGAACTATCAGAACGATTTTCTTCATGTTTAGGAGATCAAGTCCACCACATCTTCTCGACGAATAGATAAATCCATTGTTAATCAAGTGCGGCAAGTGCACGACCTCCTTCACTTGCTTCCGAATGGCCCGATCGATCTCCTGCAGAACCGCCGTAGCCAGTGTATTCACTATAAGCTCATACATGAATTTAGGGAGTAAATACATTTGCAACAGTTCTAGTTTTTGCATTGGCTTAAATGGCAATCGAGGAGTTCGTCTGATGATCTCTTCCAATTGGTCGACATCAAAGCCCTTGACAGCTCCCCTCCAAGCAGAGAATTTCGCGCCCAAGAACCTGAAAGCCTCAGAAAGTCCCAGGTATTGTACGCGTTGGCTTTCTATAATAATGCCAGGATCCCTGATACATCAACTCTTCGGGATGGGAGTGTATTCAAAGGCCGCATACTTATCAATAGATAAAGACATACCCATTGATCTAAGGTCGTCCGAGAATGTCCGGAGCTAATCAGGTTATGTCGTCAGCAAAGGCAATGGAGATCGATCGAGTGTCAGCTACCTGAATGCCCACGGTTTTTCGTTCAATTCGTTCCAGTGAGGGCTCGATGGAGAAATTGAATATTAGCGTGGCCTGCTTTATACCACTCTTTAATTCAATCTTTACGTCTCACAATCTTGCGCTCTCACTACCGTGTGGCATTGTTCATACATCCCAGAGATGTAACAAGCGACGAAACTCAAAACGCCTCTCCTCTCTAGATCCTGTTTTATCACGGAACGGTGTCAAATGCCTTGCTAACATCTTGTACGGCTATGACGCCGCCCGTTCTTTTCGCGTTCGTTATATCTGCTTCTAATAATAGCTGTACAATTAACACTACCATATTTTATGAATTTATCTATAGATTTTCGATTAAACAAATTACGTGAAAACATATAAATTTTTCGACTAGATAACTTATTACCTAGAATCAATAAAAATATTCTTTTATGAAAGTATAAAATTCAAGACTCCAATTCATGATTTATAATATACGTTGTTGTTTTTCGCTATTGTGTACAGATCTTACTATTGTGTTGTTTTAATGTTATAGACTCAAGTAAATGTCGTACGGCCAAATATATTAAAAATTATACCAGTTCTTTTATTTTATAATACTAGAAATTTTCTTCAAATGAATTGTAACCACGAGTTCTAAATATACTATAATACTATGTTTTGGGAAAATAGTATCTTTTTCACGTATCGTATTGAACTTTTCCGATGCGATGCGACGTGTCTAATAAAGTATAGTTTCAATCACTTTTATTAACCTAAATAATGGGTACGAAAATAATTTATTTATAAAACATGAGTTTAATTATTTCATATAAATGAACAAGGATATTTTTACACCTTATTTATTTTAAGATTTCAAAATACCATACAGACGATACTGATCAAATATTCAATATGATTTTAATATCAATTACAATCAAATAAATTGAGTACGTCAATATATTATAAACAAATATTTATTAAAAATTCATATTTACAAAAATAATGGTACTGGTAACTGTGCATGCTCATAACAAACACACAATTTATATACATATTATATTCAAACACTGATCGTTTTATTAGTATTATTTTCAAAAAGATTTTTTAATGTTTTCAAATCATTTTGTCTACTATCATCATTTTTACTATCACTCTTTGTCGGACTACTAACAACTTTCATACGGTTAATATTTGGCAAGACTTTTGGCCTTGTACTTTCATCTACTTGAAAATCACTTGAATTTGTTAAACTTTGACTCCACTGAGACAGCCATACATTTGCTTCACTCTGAAAATTTTTTTGTTATAAAAATTATTATTTAAAATAATGATGACTAAACGATAAATGTTTTCAAAAGAATACCTTATTTTCTGCTGCTTTAACTGATTTATCATTTTGTTGTGTAATCTCAGTGTTGACTTTGTATTTTTCGATTATTTGTTTCAATTTTTGTTCCATTTGATATTTTGCTATAGCTTGAGCCCATGGACCAAGTTCACCTCTCATAGCAGCTGTTAACATGGCCTTTCAAAAAAAAAAAAAATTAATACGAATGATCAATTTATGCTTACAGAACTTATCAAGATAAATGAGTGAATATAGAAGAGTTAATGAGATAAATCTAGTTCTCTATTGATGAATGAATTTCAGATTACTATAAATAAACGAAAATCTCGTCATTTAAGAAGTTTTTATTTAGTACAAATATTTTTAAAAGTTATTATAAACTTATTTTACTGCAACAAAAATCTTTTAGTCCTATATAGTATTGGATGTAAGAAAACTTCTGTCTTCAATTTGACTGAGAAACTAACTCTATTGAATATGAATAATTCTGAGAAGAAATTCTTTTTCCCCTCTTATACGAGTATGTATAATTTTTCAATAACTCTATAGAAAATTTATTAACAATATCGTCCTTAGAAGAAGAATAGGTTGAGTCGAGGTAAGCTTTTTTCTATCAGGCATGTGTGTTGGAGCCGTGTATTTTGAGTATAAGGTCTGTCTTCAACTTGACTAAATTTTCAAATTCAAAATACACGGCTCCAACACACATGCCTGATAGAAAAAAGCTTGCCTCGACTCAACCTATTCTTCTTCTAAGGACGATATTGTCAATAAATTTCCTATAGAGTTATTGAAAAATTATATATATAAGAGGGGAAAAAGAATTTCTTCTTAGAATTATTCATATTCAATAGAGTTCCTCAGTCAAATTGAGTCATAAGGTTATTGAATCCCCCTTAATTATGAAGGATTCAAAATTATCTTATACCTTTAGGACGTCCCAGAAATAACAAAAGTTTAGAGCAAAAAATAAATAAATAAAAGTACTATTAATGTTTTTAACTAGTAAACGAATGTATGAGTTTCAGAAAATTTTCATTGTGATGAACTTATTCAAAATTTATAATAAATGCATTACTTTTATATTAAAATATCAATGAACTTGCTTGTTTTATGTGAGTACATTAGAAAGTATGCTATATCTTACAGCTCTTTTCCGTTTTGTATCGACGTCGTTTCCTAATGGTTCAGTTTCTTTCTGAGGCCCCAATTCTACCAACACTTGAAAATCTGCATGTTCTCCAAGTCTGAAACCAACACCAACTCTTGAATCGGTACCTGAAATTATTAATGTATATCATAAATAACTGGAAATTTCAAAACATAATTCGAATCAGTAATAAAATTGTATTATCCATAATAACATACAACTAATTTTAAGAAAAGTGATTAAAAACTATATAATTTAACTTCAACAAATGAACTTACCTTTTTTTATTGGAGGGATATTAGAATATATGAGAGATAAAATTGTAGGAAGTTCTTCAGGAACTATCAAACTTGTCACACCTGCGAAATCAAAATTCATTTCTTTACTGTTTAAGCATACAATAAAATAAACGTAAGATTAAAAATATCAAACAATAAATAAGAAACATTCATTGCAAATGGAACCATTAGTAAACGTTGCTCATGCAAAACATAATTTTTTGCAAGTTTCAAATCAATGGTCTCGGTTGCAGTAAAAAATAATTAGCAGTAGAAATCAATTGTAATATATAACCGTATGTACTCGTATAATCACAGAGGATACACGAGGTAAGTGAAAACGGCGTTGACTGTGAAGCAATTACTAGCATGTAACTTTTTTCAGCATCGGAACGAAAGATACGTTGTCATAAGTAGGCGAAGGCCGAGAAGCAACGAAAAAAAGGTTCGCTTGGTTTTTGCAATTTCATAGGAGACGCGTGTACTCACTGTAACCAAAGAGCAATAGCATAGATAGCCTCAAGCACATGGCCTTCGTGCTCGATGATGGCATGTCGGTGATACTTGTATTGCAGTAACAGGCGACGGAGCAACTTCAAATTGAACATCGATTACGTTATCAAACAAGAAACCATGACTGCAACGAAAGCAACGGTTTCACATTGAGAATGCCTAATTCGTTATTAACTTTTTATGGTTCGTCAGTAAATATTCTTACAAAATTGAATGAATGTTAAAGGTGTGGAAAAAAGAAAGTTTTATTGATTTATAATAACATCCGCATTACTTTGAATTATTCAGAAGTTTTAACTTTCGAATGTATTGCTGATTTGGTTTTTCATTATGAAAATAATATGTATAAAGAAGACTTATAGAAATTCATTAATCATTAAGTTTGGCGCCGATTCACTTCACATCTATTCACATTTTGGGAGACGTAGGCGAATGCCATTATTTACAAACTTTGCTGAAATACCAGGAAGGATAGATTGCATGCACTGATTACAAGCTTAACTGATTGTTATTTGGATGACTTTTTACTGTAGTATTGATTTAAAAGAACTTGAGCTAATTAATGCACGTCCATGGAGCTTTCGTTTGACAGTGAAATCACTTGCTGAGTGTATATAAGCAAGTATTACAGCAAAATCCGCCCAAAGTATTATTGGAAATGCATTCGAGCATACGTCATTCTTTCAAATGGAACTGGCAGTGAAAATATAAATGAAAAGTGTTAAATGCATTACCGAGATTGACTGCTATTTATCGCTGAAAAAGCCCTCAATTTCGAGGCAATTGGGCGAGCGAGTGAACGAAAGAGACAGCAGGCGTATACGTCCAGTCTGGAACTGAATGAATGTTAGCACGTCTCTATCGTGGCCAGTTGAAAAAGACGTTTTTCAAGTGAAAGGGGCCCGCTCGGCCACGGCGATCGAGGTCGACGACTGGTCGCTACCGGCGTGACTCCTATCTATCCACTCTCTCCTGCGAGCAGTTGTCATCGTCTATCCCCTCCGTGATGGAATTCGCAAAGAGAGACAACGGAGACAAAACGAGAGAGAGAGAGAGAGAGAGAGAGAGATTGCGTGCCAATGTAATTGTACTGCATTGTAATACTAAAATATTCAATGCCGATTCATTGCATTTAATAATATTCAAATACAGAAAACTTATTTGCCTGTAATTTTAAGAAAACTTGTTAACCATCTTCTCGACAATATACACGACTATGTTCCAAGAAATCAAAGCAAAGTGTAATTGAAAAATTAATTTGTAAGCAAAGGTTGAAGTTTAAAGTTATGACTTTAAAAATGTTTAATGTGATCATTACCAATTTTTTATTACAAATTAATTGAAAATAAAATTTTCTTATATACATATGAAATTCTTTTTTTATTACATAAAAACATTTTTTTCCATAAAAAAAATTTCTTTAATTTTTAATAAATTATTTACATAGTTTAGAAATATTCTATTAAATGACAATTTTATATTAAACACTATTTGTCAGTCCTTGTCATAAAGGTTCAATAAGCATACTTTTAAAAATTTGTTAATTGTTTATATATACTATAACGTACACGTTTGTACTATAATGTACACAATGTATTGAATAGAATCTTATAATATAATATATGAATACGAAGGATTAGATAGAATCTGCTTTCTTAATTAAAAAAAAATTATTTTAGACTGTCATTAGTCCTACTATTACTATTACTATTGCTACTACAACGTGCATTCAAGATTGTCCAAGTTTATTTATAGACTTGAAAGATGAATGCTAATCTAATTTTTTTGGCAATTTAGTTAAAACTAAATGTATCCATATAAATCATATCAAATTTTAATAGTTTAATAGTTTAATAGTTTTATAGACTTTTTATATACATTTAAGCTTTTTCATACATTAATATTAATTTGTTTTCTAATGCATCGTATAAAATACATAGGTACTAAAGCCTTAAGTCAAAGTTGACTGATTATAAGAATAAAATTCATATTTGTAGGAATTTATCCTGGATGGTCTATCAGGTAATAGAATTGTAAAATTCAATATTGAAAGTAGCGTTTCAAGTTTGGAAGCGTTGAAAAATAAAATTGATATAATCCAGCGGAACTAGCATCTTATTTACGGGACAAGCTTGGTAGGTTCATAATACTTATGATATTACATAAGAGAATCCAGGACGTCTGAAAATTGTGATAATTCATCGTTACTAAACATAAAAACAAAAACAAAAAATAAAAAACAAAAACGTAAAAGCGTCACTTTCAAAAATTGCAGCTATAGATGACCCGCGTTAAATTTAAATTATATAAATTTATAGAGGAAAGTTCATTGAACAAGCATATCTTTCCTATTTTGAAAAATATCGAATTGATAAAATGTTATCAAGACTTAAAGTTAGAAAACGATTTTAAGACGAATATTTTTTAAGAAACTTCTGGTTGAGACTTAAATGTATCTATAGGTCGAGCTTATTACCTGAGAGAAGAGTTGAATTTGTACGTGACAGTCACTTGAATGTAATATTCACAAAATTGCGAATCAAAGAGATTTTAAAATTTTACTTGATTATTATGAGACCGCGCCGTAACTATCGGTGTAACTTCATGGTACATTATCTACTCCTGCCCCAAGAATGCTGCTATATAACCGCTCGGATAGTTAAAAAATTATATAATTTCTCGAAAAACAGCAATTTAAAAATGTGAAGCAATAAAACAAACATTATGTGGTATTTCATTAAATTTCCCACGTAAAAGTGCATAAGCCAACTCTAATAATAATGGTTAAAAAAACTTTATGTTAAGAAAATATCTTATCGTTTCATCATTCATATTTCTAAGCGCGACTGGATTATTCAAATGATTTAATTTGAAAATATTTTATGTAAAGCGGAACATGCACGTGTTTTTTTCTTGGAGATGTTCTCAGAAGCTTTGTTTTTATCATTCGACATTGCGATCATTCTCTAATGTCTTCCTGAGATTACCATTAGTATTTCGATCTTTAGTTGATTTGGTAGTTGGTGAAGGCGCGAACGACTGCGAAAAAGAAAAACAAAAAAGCTAAGTTCGTGACTACGGCTCTGCATTGACATCATCATACCTTTTTCTAATTACATTGAGTGTACTTGTGTAAAATGAAAATATTTCGCGATCTAGATTTTCTCAATATCATAAGCAATTTACAAATCTATCCTATATTAGTCCAAGCAAAGACGTAGACGTATGATTCTTTTCTTATGAGGATTTTATCTCGACATAACGTATGGGTCGTATTACTTACTGTTAGTATTTATAGTTCCTTTAAAATTGTTTAAATAATATGATAATAATTTAATAATCATTTTTTCAAACTGATAACACCGTTTTAAAGCAGAACTCTTATCCTATAAAACTCTGCCTCCAAAATTTGTAAATCTTTCTTTTTTACTGAGATATCAAAGATTGAAAATTAAGTATTTTCGATATATCAGTTGTTCGCGATAAGAGTAGTGTGAATAAAAACAATTATTACAAAATGATATCTAATTTATTATTATGTCAAAAAATTATTAGTATTTATTAATTATAAATAAACAAATGAAATCAAATTGTAAAAACAAATAATGTCTTTAGACGATCGGAAATTATAAGTGCGCTTGAATCAAGTTAATAACGAAAGGACAACTTGCCTCGCTGATAGCGAAGAGCTTTCTGACTAATACTTGAATGATGCCTGCCGAACGAGTCGAAAGACCAAAGCGTTATTCTCCTCCATCCTTTTCTTCCCCTCAAAGGGATCTAGAGGTGGAAGGCGTTAGTTTTCGTTTTCAGCTTATCATTTGGACTATACACGTAGCTATGCGCACCATACTGCTCGCTCTATCAATTGATCGTGTGCCTTTGCACGACTTTTCAAACGTTCAAATAATGGAGTAATGTTACACTCTAAAAATGCTTAAGTGAGAATGTGCCTTTGCACGATAAACATTCAGCAATGATGTGCCTTTGCACGATAAAAATTCAACAATGATGTGCCTTTGCACGATAAATATTCGAGGTTGCATATATTGCGGCATGCATGGCTCCCATCCGATCTATGGATGTGCATGCAATTCGAGTTGCGAGCTTGAGAGCAGGTGGCAGTAGATTTTTGTATTTTTTTTGTTTAAACATGACATGTGGCAATTGTACGGTTCTCCTTCCGATCAAATTCTACTCTATGTTTGTTATAATTCAGCTCGCACCGGCCGACATCATTCTGCATAGCTATTAATGCATTTTAATCGCTCGGTTTACAATAATTTTCGCCAATAAAATTATGATTGCGCTCACTCATTCAGCTTATGTCTAGGTGATTAATACTACGAAGGTTACAAGTTATAATCGCAGAGAAAACGTGAAACGGTTTAAAATTAAACTAAACTTACATAAATGGCCGGCATAAAAAACCTCGCCGTCTGAGAGGAAAAAGCCTGCCATTTTACAAGCCAAACTTAATCTAAAAAAGGCGCACAGACATTTAGGGGGGGGGGCGCGTTTGGCGTAAGGAGAGATGATTGATGTTCTGGTGCAAAGGTTGGAATGACTTATTATGACCCACTGGTACTGTGTAAATATTACTTTAATGTTGAGTTAGAGAAATGAGTGTGCTATACGCAGACGAACTCTACAGAGCAACGCGAGGCAAGCGCACGCGTACAAAGTGAGTGCAGCGAGGCGAGGAGTTGGCAATGCTCACTCGTCGAGGCGTCGCGTCCTTCTGGTCATTCACGGGGTTGCACGGATGCACCATCTAGCCAGGCTTTTGCTTCCCACTCTCTCCGAGAACACTCAATGCTTTTATTCGTCGGAGAGGGAAAAGAGAAAGCGGAAATCTGATGGCCAACAAAAAATGCGCGCGGGCCTGCTATAAAAAAAAAACCCAGCCGAAAAAGTTCGGCTGTTTGCACTACGTGCTCCATGAGCTGATCGCTTGTCGGACACCATAAATAATAAATCGTAAATCAACTGAGAAGTTGACTTACGATTTATCGGAAAAACTGAGAGAAGGGTTGAGGAACATGTGCGGTGCAGATTTTGGAAAAGTCTGCGACCCCACAGACAATATTAAAAGATGGCATAATCGCGTACATTTCGTTGCAATTTATTTTTCTTCTCCGAAGAATTTTTCGAATGTCGGCTCGGCGACACTTGATTGTACGGTCGTAGATTCGAGAGCGAAGGCTTTATCGGATTTTGTATGCGTATACAAGTTGTATCGTATATCGACTATGAATCATGGATCAAAGAGAGAAATTTGAAATAGAAACATTATGAAAATTAAGACTTTCAGGCACACGTCATCGTCGGCACGAGTTTCGATTTTGACACAAGCATCTTGATTTCGTTGCAAGCAAACCACGGTTAAATTATACTCGGTCATACGGAACATCAGTAGTACCTCGAAAACCCGATAAATTAAGATATGAACTGATATAGTATATTTATGTTCTATAAGACATAGAATAAATACTGAATTTAAAACTATTTCAGAACCTCAAATTTTCTAACCTCAAAATGCACAAAAGCATTATTCTTGGTCTAAAAAAGAAAATATGAAGAGGAAAATATCTTGATATATCGAGATATATATTTTATTCCCTCAAATCTCGGATTACCGAATCTTTAAATGTCTAACCTCAGACCTCTGAATTCCGAATTCTGTAACCTGCAAATCTATAACCTTAAACCCCTAATCCCAATTTTCTTAACCTTCGAACCCTATAACATGTCTGACTTTTCAGTAACCTAATAACCTAACTGGTTTAATGGTTGAAGATTTATAATTGTTGAGATCTATACCCTCTGATTTTCTGAATTCATAAATATTGTAACTGATTAGGCCGCAATAACCAAATAAATTGATGTTCCGATATTCAGCACAGCTTTCCTAAATATCAGATTTTTATGAATCTCGAAAATATATGATGCTGAATAAAATATAAAGTTCGTTGTCAT